TAGTAAGAAATCTCAATGCCTGCTTCCCTAACATAGCCAGGTTGAAAGAACGGAGATCTTTAAATCCCAAACCCCCATATTTCTTAGGGACACATAATTTATCCCAGGCCTTCTAGTGAATCCCTCTGTCCACCCCTTTCCCCCACCAGTACCTGTTCATTGTCCTTTCAATAGATAAACAGACTGTATCGGGCAATAAGAAAATACTCATTGAAAAGGTAGGCATAGATTGAGCCACACTTTTCAAAAGTACCTCTTTTCCTGCTTGTGACAACAACTTCTTATTCCATGATCCAATTCTCTGTTTGATTTTATCCTCCACATAAGAGAAGACTGCTCTTTTATTTCTCCCAATGAATGACGGAAGGCCTAAATATTTCCCAAAGTTTTGTGCCTGATCCACGGCTAAACAATTAGCCACGAGATCCCTATCTTCCCTTGAGGTATTCCTGCTGAAGCAAATATTCGATTTATGGTAATTAACCATCTGGCCAGATAAATTCTCATACCTATAGGCATTGTTTTATCACACTAGCCTCCTGTAAATTTGCCTTGAAAAACAATAAGCTGTCATCTGCAAAGAAAAGATGTGACACTGGGGGTGCCCCTCTAGCCACTCTACATCCATGAATTGAACCTGCCAGCTCAGCTTTTTGTAATAATAAAGATAATCCTTCAGCACATATAATAAACAAATACGGTGAGAGGGGGTCACCTTGCCTAAGACCTCGTGTTGGGATTATTTTTCCTCCAGGCACACCATTTACCACAACCTGATATGTCACAGTTGTCACACATGTCATAACCAAATCAATCCACCCCTTATTAAATCCCATCACCTGCAACATCTTTTTCAGAAACGGCTACTCCATCCTATCATATGCCTTTGTCATATCTAACTTTAGAGCACCCCACCCCACATTACCACATTGCTTCCGATTTAAAAAGTGACCCACCTCTGAAGCCACCAGGATATTATCTGTGATCAACCTCCCTGAAATGAAAGCACTCTGGGACTCTGATATTAGATTTTTCATAAACGGTTTCATCCTATTGGTCATCATTTTAGCCATAATCCTGTATAGTACATTACTGAGAGCAATCGGCCGCATATCCCCAACCGTTTCAGGCACATTTTTCTTAGGGATCAGTATTATATTCGTATCATTCAAACCATTCGGGAGGATCCGCGAATTGAGGGCATTAAGAATAAATTCAGATACATCCACTCCCACCACATCCCAAAAATGTTGATAAAAACCCGGGTTCATACCATCTGGCCCCGGGGCTTTATCTGGGAACATAGAAAATACTGTAGTTCTAACCTCATTAACATCAAAGGGGCGCAAAAGGGCCATATTTTGTGGCGGGGTGACATGTGGGGTAAAATCATTAAACAAAGGATCACTGCATGTAACATTATTCGTTGCAAAAATCCCCTCAAAATATCTCATAACAAGTAGATTCATATTCTTCTTGTACCTATGAGAACACGGTTTGGTGTTGAGTCTAACTTAGGATGGGTTTTTATGGGGTTAAAAATAATTGGGCAAATAAAAACCACTTATCAAAAATATATAAATAAATTTTACTAGAAGACAAGTTTGGCATTTCTAGGTCTAGGAATTAAATCTCAACTAAAATTCTTAATCAAAAATTAGATTGTACATTTATTATTTATATAATAAATGCTCAACAGGTTCTATGCGTTTTTAAATTACATATGATCCGTTGATCATCTCAAATGAACAATTAGCTCAAATTAGTTCTTATTTTCTCTCCTGAGATGGACGCTCGTTCTCACTGAAGTGCATCCCTATCAGTGTTGCTAAAGTTGCGCTTAGGCGCTGATTATTCGACACCTAGGCGCTAGGCAGTCGGCCTCCTAGGCGCTCTAGGCGGTCCCCAGGCGCCTAACGATTTTTTTCAACATTGATCCATATATATATATATATATATATATATATATATATATATATATATATATATATATATATATATAGGGAAAATGGCACTTTTCCCCCCTGTGTTATATACCTATAGCATTTTTTCCCCCTAAATTATTGAAGGGGCTGTTTTTTCCCCTGAAATGTTAAATGGACATATTTACCCTTAAACTAAATATTTAATTTATTTTTTTTCTCCAACAAATTATGACCATAATTTGGATCAAACCAAACAAACACTATAGCAACCAAACCGAAATATTCCAATTACAATTTAGAATCGAAATTCGATATTTAGATCGAGTTTATTAAAATCGTGAACCGGAACGGACGGTTCATGTTCCGAACTGAAAAAATAAAATACATTTATTGTTGAATTTATACTATTTTAAAATAAAAAATAAGATTTTAAAATAAAGACGGTTCAAAATCGCGAATCGAATCCGGAACCGCCGGTTCACGGTTCAAGATTCAATTTTTTTGATACATAATTTTAATACATTGACATTTAAATATTGGGTTCTAGATTTGAATTATAACCGAAAACTATTAATTCAATTGCTTTAGTATCCGGTTCAATTCAAACTGATCCGTGGTCATCCCTACGTATACGCAATAATTTGTTGGAGTAGTAAAATAAATAAAATGTTTACTTTAAGGGTATAAATGTCAATTTAATATGTCACGGGGAAAAAGCACCACTTTTAGAATAATTGAGGGGGCTAATGTGCTTACCTAAATAATTGAGGGGGAAAAAGTGATATAAGTATATATATATATATATATATATATATATATATATCTTTCAAGTTTCAACTATGAGATGATAAGATGCTTCTCTAGTGATTCAAGTTTTATAAACAATTCATGAGATCCAACTAACCACAAGTGGGTTGATGATGACACTTGAGGAGAAATTTGAAAATTTGGTGCATTAAGATATGAGAGCTATATATATATATATATATATATATATATATATATATATATATATATATAATTCTTGTAATCTAAAATAAAGCAGCAAGTCTTGTCTGCACACCAAATGGAAGGTGGGAATGGTTGAAGTTGAAGAGAATCTCACCACTTTCACCCTCTGATCTGTTTACTCAAACCACCATTTTGGAAGTTGAAACTACATTGAAATTTGCAAGTCATGATCATTCACGGAGTATAATGTTAGTTCTTTATAGGGATAAATGTTAAGAATATCATCATCAAGAATATGTTGAAATTGCTGTTGGAAAAAATAGCTTAAAATGACATATTAAGTGGTTATTTTGTGATACAATTATCAGTGGGGTCCACTTTTGATTTGGGTCGGGTCAAAATGGATTCTGGTTCTTCGTAGTGAGACGAAGAGATTGATATATTGTACGCTAAAAATGGATAATGGGTGAATGAGATATTGATTCTCAAAGTAGACCCATTTGAGTTGGAAAATGAAGGGAAAAAAAGAGCTTTTGTCCCACATTGGCTTGGGAAGAGGATTTGCCCTACTATTTATACAAGAACTCTTTTTAAGTTTATTGAATTGTATAGCATAGAGGCTCTCTCTCGAAATTGGCAAGTCGTTATGCCAAACTTCTGTATTCATTTTCCGACAAAGTCACGATTTCGTGTTGTTATTGTTAGTTTCGACCAAGTGGCCTTCGTGTTGTTATTGTTAGTTTCGGGCAAGTGGCCGAAACCTTTCATTGCAAATAACTTTGAAATTTCAAGTTTCGGCCAAATGGCCGAAACATTGAAGTGGCAGTGGCCGAAACTTTGCACAGTATACACGAACCAGAAAAGCATATCCCTATTATAATTGTTGAGTTCTAATTCATCAGCTGTTACATGATTTAATTTTTTAATTAATTTCAATTTCAATTTTGAATTAAAACCTATGTAAATGGTTGCTGTTACAGGAGTTGTAGGGGTGCCCCTAAATGCCATAATAAAGGCTATTCACTCTTCAATCCCTATATAAGAAGGAGTTCAGCAGTAGCTTTTTTTAACACACAAGAAAAATAATTTTTCCAGCCTCAAAATACCTCTGCTTCTACTCTTTTCTTGAAGCTGTGTTCTGCCCGTGCTCTTATTCGCCGGGTTCGTTCATTTGGGTACTCAAACGTCGAACCGTTATACGTTTTATCTTGGAAGCCTAGGCCACAACGCTCCTAGCATTTTTGGGAGGTGGCAAATAAGGTTTTAAGGAAAGACAGACACTTTGCCTAACTCGTACTAATCTTTCTTCCTTCTCCTTCTTTCTTGTTTTGGATTATGCTCTAAGCAAAAATCCGTTCTTTCTTGTTGACTTGGAATTATAATCCAAGGATTATATGTTCCTTTTTTGTTGATATATATTATTCCAAAGGCTGAACCCCAACCCTAATTTGTTGATATATATTGGTATATCTTTTCGTAGATATACATGTATATATAACCGTTGGTTCCGGCATATATATATATATATATATATATATATATATATATATATATATATGTTTTGGATATATATCAAATAATACTTTATATATATTTCGTGTGTATATATATAAATATTATTTTAGGGATATTAAATCGATTTTGGTTCATGATCACCAACAATTGCGCCTAAGGTATCTCAATCCACTGCAATCCTCGAGCATGCTAAAGACTTTTATCTGCAAAAAAATTTACGATCTATCATGTTGTCTATAAGCTATAGCTATGCATAATATAATATACTACACATTTTTATTAAAGCGTTTCCATTTTTAGTCTATAAGTTTGATGACTTCTTATTTTTGTTCTTTGATTATGAAATTCTCACTTTGAATGCATGATTTCAAACTAATTCATTTTAAAAATTGATGTGAAAGTCATATGTCTTGCAATAAGTGATTAATTTTTAGGGACAAAATTATTTCCCTAAAAATGACAATAGGTAGGATAGGAACTTGTTTGTTTGTTTGTTTAATTTTTGTTTTTGTTTTTGTTTTTGTAATTGTACTAAACAGACCCGCCGGCACCGCCCTGGTGTTTATTTGTGAGCGCGTGCGGGGCCCAATTCTTCTGTGCCGCTTCCGCTTGTCAGACGTCTAATTTCTGGACATACGCTCTCTCTCTCTCTCTCTCCCGGAACGCGCACAAAAGGACACGCCTTTATTTTGAAAATTGAAATCCCCCTTTTCTGCTCCTCAAATCTCTCCTCACTACACCATCATTTGCTCCTCTTCAAATCACCATTTCATGTATCCCTATCATTTCTGTCTCCATCTTTTGAGTTTGCAGAGCTGATAGTGCCTCCCTGCCGCCTGGCTTCTTCTTAGGGTTTCTCCTCCTCCGATTGGAATGGTTTTTCTTTTCGTGTTGGACGGCGGTTGTCGTTTTCGGAATGGAATGGTCTAGATCTGTTGCGACTCTTCTTTGAACCTCAGTGTGCCATTTCCATTGTAAGCTTCACATTTCCTGAATTTCTTTACTGTATATGCATTGCTCTTGCTTCGATCTGCTTATTTCGTGTCTGCCATTGTGCATTAGTTCATGCCTTTTGAAGCTTTTACAGTTTTACAGAGCTAACGTTATTATTTTTTTCCCCTGAAATTAACATCGAAATGATGAAGGAATCATAGCTTTGAATGAATTGTTTCACATATGAAATGCAACATTTTTGCTAATTATAAATGAACTTTTGTTTTAAATATTCTAGACATGATTGATGGAATGAACTAGGATTTTAGCATTGCCCTTTGCTTCCAGTTCTCCATAATAAGATATATTGTTTTACTGCAGTAGGTATACAAACCCATAATATACAGTTAAACTCTTGGGCATTGACAGAAGAGATGGCACAGTTGCCATAAAGGACAGGGTTGATAAATACCTTTGAAATAAATGTGAAGTTCATAATAATGTCCTTAATGTTAGCATTGCAGTTTCTGGTGCCTGTTGTCTTCTTTCTTTTAAACTTGTATATGCAAATTCAATGTATGGGCTGAACTGAGACACTAACACAGGTGACGAGACACTAACACAGGTGACGTGTTCAGGGAGGGACCAATCACTATATTAGCAATTAATATCAATGGCAACGGGAAGTCCTTATTTTGATGATATCCGATGTAAACCTGAGGTCATTGATCCTCCACAAGATGAAGACTCAATGGATGTTGGTGAACTTTCCAGTGAGCCTATGCAGAATACTCTAAAACCTAATGTAACTGTTTCTAGCAATGTTCGTGAACTGTTGGAATGCCCGGTGTGCCTAAATGCCATGTATCCACCAATTCATCAGGTATGATTACTTAGAAGAATAGAAGGGCTTGAAAGGGTAGAAATTTCAGATTATCTAATGGAATAGAATGGTTTTCAACATATATGAAAAACGTCTTCATTCATACTATATTGGTTCAACAGTTGGATCTGATGCATTTGATAAGTAGAACTGCTAGAAGTGGTAACCGTATGTACGTTTAAGCTCATGGCTGATCATTGCCAATGAATAAACGGTATTAATCATTACAAGTAATGAGCTGTGACATTGGTGATAATCAAGTTCTAAAGGTAGTAGCTAGCGTGTTAACTACCCTGCATATCAATCACTTTCGAGAAGCCTTAATGTTCATCATCATATTATTTCTGAAGATTCAATCAAGAGATATGTTCACCAACTTTTCAGTATAATAGTTGTGAACATACAATCAAAGCACCCATCTATAAGATGCTAGGGTTATTACAATCATGTTTGCTGTGTCTGTTTTTGTCCTTCCATACTAACTTATCCTATTGTCCAGTGTTGCAATGGTCACACATTGTGTTCTGGTTGCAAGCCCAGGGTACACAACCGCTGCCCAACTTGCAGGCATGAGCTTGGTAATATTAGATGTCTTGCTTTGGAGAAGGTTGCTGCATCTCTTGAGCTCCCTTGTAAATATCAGGACTTTGGGTGCATGGGGATCTATCCTTACTACAGCAAACTGAAGCATGAATCCCAATGTGCTTTCAGACCTTATAATTGTCCTTATGCAGGATCAGAGTGCACAGTGATTGGTGACATTCCCTTTTTAGTGGCTCATTTGAAAGATGATCACAAGGTTGATATGCATAGTGGAAGTACCTTCAACCATCGCTATGTTAAATCAAATCCACACGAAGTTGAGAATGCTACATGGATGCTTACAGTAAGCACTACTTTTTAATGTTTCAACTTATTTTTCTCTGCCATGCTATGCTTAAGGTGCAACAATATAATTTTGATAAACACCGCTGTATATGTGAGGTGAGATGAGCAGTCATGGACATGCTCAATTCCCTTTATCTAAGAACACTTGCCCTACACTCCACACTGACTGTCAGTGGACTACCTATGAAAGCTGTTTATTTTATTATGTGTTATAAAGCATACCAGTTCATGTTCATGTTCTGTGTTTATTTTTACTTGCTACCTATGAAAGCTGTTTACTTATTCGTTTTACAAAGCATACCAGTTCATGTTGTGTTTTATTTTTGACTTGATACCAGGTTTTCAGTTGCTTTGGGCAGTATTTTTGCTTGCATTTTGAAGCATTTCAGTTGGGGATGGCACCAGTTTACATAGCATTCTTGCGGTTCATGGGAGATGATAATGAAGCTAAAAACTACAGCTACAGTCTTGAAGTTGGAGGGAATGGGAGGAAGATGATTTGGCAAGGGGTGCCAAGAAGTATAAGGGATAGCCATCGAAAAGTTCGTGACAGTTTTGATGGCCTCATCATTCAACGCAACATGGCCCTATTTTTCTCGGGTGGTGATCGAAAGGAGTTGAAACTAAGAGTCACTGGTAGGATATGGAAAGAACAGTGACTGGGTTTTCTCTAGACAAATGTTTTCTAGTTTTCTACCTTAGGAGACATTTTGTTCAGTTTAGCAGTCCAACCATTTCTCTTGGTCATGTATTTTTTGAACATATGAAGCAAGATCTCTTTGCTTGTCCATGAAATACATGAGTGAGAATGCCTAGTTATGCACTAAATGTTTTGTATGTCTTGTGCATCAAATATGTTTCAAGAGGTGGATTCTAGGCCAGTTCTTTGTCATGTGATCATGAAGTCTTATGTTTACTGTTTGGACAACATATCATATGCAGAAACATGTGAACATGGTGACTATATACCAAATAGGGTATTAGGTATACTATAGTAAAACAGTAGTGTGGACTTCAATTACATGTAATGTTCATATCTAGATAGGTGATATTGCTGACACAACAGCAGTCACAGTTTTGCAGAAACCCTGAAAGAATGTTGGAAAAAGTGGAAATAAAAAGAGAAAATAGAGGGTGAGGTTTCATACTTATTTACAGCTCATCATGTATGCATTCCATCCTTGGAGCCTGTACTCTCTAGCTGCCTCTACAGGGTTTGCTGCTTTAATAATTCCACGACCAACAATTATAATGTCACTGCCCCTTTCAGAAATGACCTGAAACAACAATGCAGAAATAGGAAAATGATATATACTCTCAAAAGAGAAATTTCCATTACATATTAATAGAAAAAAAAGAAGAAAAGAATAATGATTTATGATTAACACTTAACAATGAAAGTTTCTACTACAATTTTAAAACTGAAAAGAATCTACTGTTAAGAATTCTTCACAATAGCATCTGTCATTTCTGTCATTTCATTTAAGCGTGAATCCAGAGGTAAACAATGGAACTTACAGAATATGGGGTGTTGTACTGCTGGCCTAAAGAATCTCCACCTTCTACCAGCTGAACACCAGGGGTTGCATGAATAAACGCCGGATTTCCAGGTCCATTAGGCCACGCTGCAGGATTTACAGAGATGAAGCCAATCACGAAATCTGGATGATCATTGGCAATTTTCACTGCTGCTGCTGTATACTCTCCCTTGGCAAGGTTGCCCGATGAACTCATTTCAGCAAGCAAGAGCAGGCCCTTACCATGAGCCAAACCCTAAGTGAAGCATATGGTGCAACTCACATATGAATAACGAAGCATTATGTAGGTCCAGAGGTGAAAAGCATCAGCATAATAGTATGTGTATATATAGAGTGAGAGATGGCAAACCTTCAATTTCAGCCCATCCACAATTCCCGGACCTGAAATTATGTGAGCATTAACTATATCTGCCCAATCCAATATACGGAAGATACCACTGCAAACATGAGTAGACTGTTCAAATGATAATTTAATGGGAGCAAGAGAAAGGAGTATAAGCCTATTATACTGCAAATGCACTCACTCACCCTTCATATTGCATTGCAACCGTGTTGCCAATATCAGCAAACTTCCGATCTTCAAATATTAAGAAGTTGTGTTTCTCTGCAATCTTCATAAGCAAACTAATAAAATATGGTTCGGCAACTTCAACCCAGAAAAAAAAAAACAAAAATCTCTAGTTCTCTACATACTAGGCAATTAAGTCCTGTTTTATTCCCAACAAGAAACAGATTCAATGGGCAAGGACCTAGGAAGGAACATATAACAGAGGATTATGCATTTATGCCACCCAATTTCTCAGAATCTTGGGGAAGGGGGAGAGAACCACCATATTAGTTTCCACCTTTCCTGAAGTCTGTATGCTAATATCCATCTAAAGGAACCAAATTGTTTCATTACCTTATTCCAAATTCTGACAAATAATGTGAATAATGACAAACACAATTTGCCAGTTCTCTGCATTGCATACTATGTTCTTCCGTAGAATCAAACAACTATTGGCTCAACTATCTAATCATTCACCAAATATCGATATTTATCATACAAATAGTTCTATTTTAGATGATTTTGTTCTCTTACACAGTAATCAAAGGGCCAATTGCTCACTTAAAGAAGAAAGAAACAAAACAATACTACTGTGAAAAACCAACTTACAGATCGAAGTTTAGAGCCAAAATGAGGAGTGAAATCAGGCAATATATCGACGTGGGTTTTCAACATGCAAATTTCTCTCCCAACCTGGAAAATATATAAGCAATAAATTTTCATAAATTAAAGCAAACGAATGTCCTCTACATTTGTATATACTAGTTAAAAAGCCATCCAATGTTGATCATTTATTTACTTTACGAAATCACCAGCCTACATAAATTGATCATTTCCTCCTTTTCCCCTCACCTTGTCAGCAATATCGAGTAACTCAGCTGCTGTGGCAACATCAGCAGACACGCACAAGTTACTCTCTTTCTGCACCATTATCTCAAACAACCTCCTCCCGGTAGGATTCGCTGTCATCTTTGCCCTCTCTCCATAAGGAATCCTAACCTCAACCTTCTTCTCAACCCCTGGCATTGGTGCAGCCACTTTCTGGTTCTCCTTCAAGAACTTCATCACCATCTTCTCTGTCTCCTCCGATACCCTCCCCTTTTCCTTCAATATCCTTACCATCTCACTCAACTTCACCATTGCATGCAATGCAATCCCATTCTCAGCCAAGTTCTCCCTACCTCCTTGTTCCCTGTCGAAATAGATGTGTTAAATAAACCCTAATACTCCAATCCAAAAGCATTAGCTTATTGTTGATCACAATAATAACAAATGCCCCAAAAAAGAACTGTAAACACATCAGTAAAGAACATATGAAAAACAAGGTTTTAGCAGGTGGAAATGAATAATACATATTTCATAGATTGTAAACAAAATGCTTTACGCTTAAAATCTCCATACAAGGGCGAATTCAAACCTACAAGTGCACATGCAGAGAAGAGCATTTATTGCCGAACAGAATTAGAGGAGTATAGACTATAGACTAGAGAGTAACCTGTCGATCATGACGACGGCATCGGAAACCTTGAGGCCGGCGGAGCGGAGAGGAGCGGCGGTCTCGAGGACGGAGGCGCCGCTGGTGACGAGGTCTTCGACGATGAGGCAGACCTGACCGGATTGAAATGCGCCCTCGATGGCCTTGGCAGTGCCGTACTCCTTGACCTCCTTGCGGCGCATGAGCATAGGCACATTGTTGGACGTGGAGAAGCAGGTAGCAATCGGAAGGGCGGTATAGGGCACGCCGCAGACAAGGTCGTAGGTGGCGGAGCGAGGGACGACGGCGGTGAGGGTACGGGAAATCTGGCAGAGAAGTTTAGGGTAAGAGACAATGAGGCGGAGGTCGATGTAGATGGGGGACGAGATGCCGGATTTCAGCCGGAAATCGCCGAACTTGACGGCGGAGATGTCGTGAAGCTGAAGGATTAGGGACTCCATCGTTTCAGCTGAAACTGCAGAAGATGACGACATAATTATTTTATTTTACAAATTTTTTAAAATTGAATTAGCGGGCATTATTCGGTTTTGTCTAGACTTCTTTATTTATATTTATTTTTAATACGTTTATAAATTTATTACTCCGTATTTTATAACGATTGTTACATGATTTTTAATACATTTATAATTATAGATTATAGAATTTGATTCGCTAAAGACGTCATCAAAACACCAACAAAGCTTGTACCCTTTGGTTGAATCCTACGTCTAAGATTTTATATATGGAGTTCTCCTTACAATTTTATAAAATTTTATTAAGAGTTAATTACCGAAATAGTCACTTGACTATAGCGAAATTACCAATTTGGTCCTTGACTATTTTTTTTGACTAATTACGGGACTTTAAAAATTTTAACCAATTTAGTCCTCCGTTTGTTTGATCAACGATCGTTAGTCAACCGTTAATTTGGGACCAAATTGATAATTTGCTATAGTCAAGGAACCATTTTGGTAAATAACTTTAAGGGTGGGTAATTCGATTTAGTTTTCTCGAATCGAACCGTACCAAACTAGTTAGATTCGGTAATATACCGAACAACTGAACAGTAATAGATTCTTGAGAACTTTTGATAACAAACCATAAAGAAATCAAATCAAACATTTACGAAAGATACCCGTGAGAATATGAGTTGAACGGCAGAGCAAGCAGCAATGGAATTTGATTTACTTTTTATTTATTTATTTATTTATTATTATTATTATTATTATTATTATTATTATTAAAAAATCAAACGGCATTCGGTTCAGTTCAATTTTTTACCGAACAATTCGGATCGGTTCGGATCAATTTTTTATCAAATCGTTCAGTATACAAGTATCCAATATCATTCGGTTGTTCGGTAAATTACCGAGCCAATTGGTTCGATACGGTTCGATTCGAGAAAACTAAACTGAATTGCCCACCCCTAAAGTTAATTACAAAAATGATCCCTTGACTATAGCAAAATTACCAATTTGGTCTCAAGTTAACGGTTGACTAACGGTCAAACAAACGGAAGACTAAATTGGTTAAAAATTTTAAAGTTGAGGGACTTAATTGGTTAAAAAAAATAGTCATGGACCAAATTGATAATTTTACTATAGTTAACGGACCATTTTGGTAATTAACTCTTTTATTAATTTTCTAATCCTTTAGACTTCAGTCTAGGAATCCTCACACATCTCTATAGTTATGTACGTAATTTTAAATATTCTATAAACCCCCAAAAAAATGTACAAATGCAGAAAATGATCAAGACAATTTCGTCAATCTTCTAAATTTGTAGCAAAGTAGCTCCGGTGTAACATTAAGGGTCTGTATTTAATCAATACTTTAATAAACTTTCAAAAAATTTTAATGTAATGGATTTTAAATGTGACTTTCATAAAATTTTCCTATAGTCTATAAAAATTATGACAAATATTAAAAAAAAAAATTTCAAAAAATTTCATATTAAAGAGTCCATAAGTCATTAAAACTCTAATTGGGTGTTTGGTTGGCATGAATTGAAATTTTTTGCCAATGTAATTCCATGAATTGTAAAATTATATTGTTTGTTTGGATGAAATTATAATTCTCTCAATTTAATTAATTAGAATTCATAATCCCTACACCCATGAATTGAAAGTCAGCCCTGGAAAGGAAATGAAAAAAAAAAAATTACTTTTGCCCGTTGTTGTTGTTGTTAAAAAATTAATGCATACTCTCCTTACATGTAAAATCATGTTATGTAGAGAATTACCCGCATGGGCAGCTCAACTGGATGAGTTTAGGAACGTGTGTTTGATTGAACAGTAACAAATAGATAAGAGTTACAAGATACACTACCAGTAGGAGGATCCTATACAGATGGCTAAGGATGGGGTCAACATAACAAATATTGACTTATACTAATAATATATAATATATGCTAATAAACTGGTCACAGAGGTGAAAATTTAGAAGAATGACTAAGGATCGAGTCTCACTAGCGACAGTGTGGGAGCAACCTCTCGAAGTGAGGGGGGGTCATGTTCAGTTGAGTTATCATGATTTTGGTTATGTAGAGAATTTTAAATAAAAAGGATATAATATTCAAAAAGAGAAAATTACACTTTTGGTCCTATGACTATAGGGGGCGTGTTAATTTCAATACTTGACTTTAAAAACTAACAATTTAGTCTTGTAACTATGTAATTTCTAACACATTTGGTCCTCCCGGCCAAATCACCGGCGAAATTTGGCCGGAAAAACTAAACCCATTTTAAATTAAATATAAGTGGGGACAAAACGGTCATTTGAACTTCAAATTTCTGTTCCCAAATCGGAGCGAGAACTGTAATTGACCAAGTGGGGGCAAAGGTCCGAACTGGGAGAGGCAACAAATGGAGTCACCATTGATGCAGCGGCAACCGGTGAACCGGAAAGAACATGAACTGTAATTGACCATCCTTTTCGCTCCTTCCCTGGCCGCTCCCTTTCGCTTCCGAATGAACTCAACCAACTTCTAGGACCGCTTTGCTCCGACAGAAATGATGTACAGTGCAGTACAAAATATATGATGACAAACAGTTCAATACTTCAATATGTTCAGCAATTCTACTTAACACTAATTGATAACGATCAGAAAAGAAACTGTAGGAAGCAAAGAATGTCGTTGCATTTTCAACAGTAGTCGAGTTTTCAAATAGTAATTGAATCAAATTAACCTCAACCTAAGAAAATTTTGTTAAGGGCTAAAGTTTTAAAAGCTTCGTATCTTCACTTTAAACATGAACACTTGTCCAATGACGCCGAAGATTTAAATACAACTACATTTTTTAGCTTTAATTTAGAACACATCAACACATATGTATGGAACAAGCCCTCCTTTACAGTACCACTTGGCAATTTCCACTGTAATTGTGGTCATGAAGCATGTCGGTTTGTAAAGGAAAACGGAAAAAATAAAAAAGTAAAATAAGTGAGAAGACAGGACGGACCTGGACCGTTGATTTCAGTCTGCAATGGTTCGAAAACTAAACTTGCAGGTGAAAACCGGTTGACGAATGTTTCCTTGGATTTGGAACACCTGAGGACTGCATTCTGGCTCGCCATCGAATTGAAAAACGAATCTTGGGTCCGGAAACTTGAAGTTCAAATGACAGTTTTGCCCTTACTCATATTTAATTTAAAATGGGTTTGATTTTTCCGGCCAAATTTCACCGGCGATTTGGCCGGGAGGACCAAATGTGTTAGAAATTGCATAGTTATAGGACTATATTGTTAGTTTTTAAAATCAAGTCCTGAAATTAACACGCCCCTTATAGTTATAGGACCAAAAATGTAATTTTCTCTATTCAAAAATATGTTTTAAGAAATAGCAAATTTTGTTAAAGATAATATTATCGTAGAGAAAGTAGAAGAGTAAATGCATGAGAAAATATTGAGCATGAGAAAAAAATATAAGAAAGTGATATAAAAAAATATAAAAATATAATAATTAAGTGACAAAAACGATCTGAGACTAAATTTGAAATTGTCAATTTGTCACCTAAGACAATGGACCTCTGGAGTGGAATTAACTCAACACAATAATTACGAAAACTTTGGAACTGCCAAACACAAAAAAAAAAAAAAAAAAAAAAAAAAAAAAGAACCAAAGAAATTAAAAATAAAAATATTAATTATTAATTATTAATAATTAAAATTATAAAATAGTAAGAGAAAATGAAGGAAGGAAAGAAAACGTGAAAATGTGAAGTAGAGGAGAAAATAGGCGCCGCGGGACGAGATATTGTCTTGTCTGGTAATCGGGCAACTACCTACCTGCCTATTATCCCAGGAAGAACATCCTAACCATTTTCGACTTTTGTTTCCTCTTCCTAAATCCAATAAAGAAACATCCTCCTACGACCGAAACAAAAGTCCGAAATCTTGTGAATCTTCGCAATGTTTCTTCCTTTCTATTTTCAGCAACATATATGAATCATATATCCGTATATGCACATACATGCATATACACATATTCATCCACCCAGCCCCTGCAATTCCAATTCTGCGGCCCAATTTCGCCCTCAGACTCCACCCGGGATGTTCTTCTGACACGAAACGGTGTAAAGTTCCTGTCTTTTTCGTTGTTTTATGCGTTTGTTGATGTCGGATTATTGATTTTTTTTTTGTTTGTTTTTTGTTTTTGGGTGGAAGCGTAATTGCAGTGTGAAAAAGGGATCAGGAGAGAGAATTCAATAGAACTATAGTGCATGCATTTGTGATCTGGGTTCTTTCAAATCAGAGAAGATGTCTATCCATCAGGGCAATACAGACGGCAACAATGGCTCAGGTAGTTCCATTTTCATGGATTATTAAGGTTTCTTTTGTGTTCTGTTTTTCCATGTTTTTGGCATTCAATTTAAAGCTATAATTGGGAAGGAGTTCCTATGTTTGAAGCATTTTATTTGGCTTTGAATGAATTTGTTTAGTTCCTTGTAGTTTGGCCAAAGATTGTAATTGAAATTCAGGGAAGAACATGATTGAATGAATGTAACCAAGAGAGATGATTGTAAGGAAAGGGAAACAAGATTATTTTCTGTTTGTAGTCATATGCAGATTTGATCTTTTCCAAAGTGATGGTTTGTTCGTTTTTTTTGGATAACGAAGAAAACCCACAACCACTATTCATGGGTGTGCACCTGTTAAATCCTGCCTTGTGACCCTAGTCACCAAATGACCACAATGAGATAAACGGCAAACCAACCTAGGTTGCCCATAGCTGATCAGCTCAAACGAAGAAGGCTAATAGGCCGCTCCCACCCGAGAGTTGAACTTGCAGAACCTTAAGGTTACCAAACCAACGGCCTAAACAACTTGGTTGGGGTTGCCCCCAAGATGTAAAATCCCCATTTTTTGATGGCATTGCCATGATTTGTGTACATGATGGTGTATAAGTTTTTTTGGAATTGTATTCCTTTGGGTTCATTTTTGGGCATTCTCCATGTTTTCAATTTCACTTGGTCTTTCTGTGTTACAAAAGAATCGTTTCAGTATCTTCTTTTTATTACCTTAACGTGTTCCCTTTTCATGATGTAGTTCACACATGATGTTTCTTCATTATCTTACATGCTTATTACAATTGTCTCTATAGAGCAGAAAGATTGATCTCTTATTCCTTGCTATCCGTATCTTAAATGTAACAGGAGTTTATTCACGTGGTGAAGGCTCCTGCCTCTATGAACTTCTACAATTGGAAATCACCCCAAGTTTTCGTCGTCAAATGGATATACATGACAAATCTTTAAGTACGCCATCTCTTACTTTTCAATTTCGTTTCCTAGAATTGGGATGTTGCTGTTTGGTTTCTGCTTCACTTTTGTAATATTTATACATGGTTTTTGTGTCTTCTTCGATGTTGTGTTTATTGCACCTATATATTGTCTGGCATTTTTTGGATTCTAGTTTCTCTGGAATTATACGTGTTTCCCTATTATCTACACCAGGTCCCCGGCTTAGACTGCAGGCTCTGTTGAAAGAATCCAACAATAAAAATTGCGCTGATTGTGGATCTCCAGATCCGAAATGGATGTAAGTATCAAAACGATTAAATAATTTAGAACCTGTTTTTACATCGTCTGAGCTATGCCACATTATACATGTTTTCTAAAGATTGTTTGCAAAAAGCAATAATGTGCCCCCCGGGATAGCAAGGTTGTGTTTCTATCTTCGTAAGTAAGTCTTTTCTCCCCATTTTCACGCAATTCATATATGCCTGTTTGTTGATATTCAGATCAGTGAGTCTCGGTGTTTCAATATGTATCAAGTGCTCTGGTGTACATAGAAGTCTCGGAGTGCATATATCAAAGGTATGGAACTAATGCTCTTTCTATCCTTTTTGTTGCATTTCATATATACTAAGAAAAGGCAAACAAACCCAGTGTGTGTGTAAGCAATACATTTTAGTCAATGTTGAAAAAATAGCTATGCGCCTGGGGGCCGCCTAGAGCGCCTGGGGCCGCCTAGGAGGCTGACCGCCTAGCGCCTAGGCACCGACTAATCGGCGCCTAGGCGTGATTTTTGCAACACTAATTTTAGTACACAAAAATTTTGATTCCAGGTTTTATCGGTGAGTCTGGACGAGTGGACAAATGACCAAGTCGATGCTTTCATAGAAATGGGTGGCAACGCCATTGCAAACATGAAGTATGAAGCCGCCCTTCCAGATAATTTTAAGAAGCCAAAACCAGATTCACCTATAGAAGAGCGCACCGACTTTATAAGGTAATAATAATACGTTTGATCCCTCCTCCCTGGGAATTGCACGCTTAATATGTTTCCGTTGCTGAAAACAAAGATCCGCCTTTTGGATGCCCAGGAGAAAATACGAGAAGCAACAGTTTCTGAACTACGATGTACATATGCTATGTCCGGTTGCATCTTCTGCATCCTCCTCTTATTGTGATACATTAGCCTATTATTCTAGCACAACGCCCGAGAGGAAACTCCAATATGAACAGAAGCACTCGAATAGCCATCATCGCGCCCATGGCTTTGGGCATTTCCGCCATAGCCGGAGAAGGAAAGAATCTGATCACCACAAGAGTAGGAAAAGTAGTTCAATGGTAAGTTCTCCTAGCGGGAATGGCATCATCTCGAACATTCGTTTTTGGGTGACTAGGGAAATCCGCAGTCACTACCCAAGACTGTGCACTGGGTAAATCTCGCCTTGTGACCTTAGCTGGCAAAAGACCACAAGGAGGTAAACCAGTCTAGGTTGCCTATAGCTGACTGGCTCAAACTAAGAAAGCTGGGATTCGAACGCGTGACCTTGTGGTTACAAGTTTGTATCCTTAGTTATCCTGGCTTTCTCGTATTTTCTTATGTATTTCTTGGTTTCATTCTTTGTTCTGTCCTATGTTTTAAACAAGTGTAAGTAAGCAAACATGGAACCTTCTTTTATGGGTGATCTTACAGCCAGCATGTTCTATAGGCAGGTATGGTTGAATTCATAGGACTTATAAAGGTCAATGTGGTGAGAGGTACCAACCTGGCTGTTCGCGATATGGTAACTAGCGACCCTTACGTTATTCTGTCGTTGGGAACCCAGGTAAACCGAGTTATCTGTCATCAGCACGAGCTCTAAACCGAGCTATCTATCATTTCACTGAAGCATTTCTGTCTTGCAGTCGGTGAAAACTCGCGTTATAAAGAACAATCTGAACCCTGTTTGGAATGAGAAGCTCATGTTGTCAATCCCAGATACCATTCCTCCATTAAAAGTGGTAAGGATACATTACATCCTCAGAGAATTGAGCTATAATGCACATGGGCCAAATCACACTAAAAGATTGAATCCAACCAATTAACTGGTCTAACTCATGGCCTTATAAACCCATATGTTCTCTCTTATTTTATCAATGTGGGACTCTTAACAGTCATGAAACAACTGTGCAGCTGGTGTATGACAAGGATACATTCACGACAGACGATTTTATGGGGGAGGCCGAGATCGACATCCAACCTCTCGTGGTGGCTGCACGAGCATCGGAGGGTTCTCCAACACCACAAAGCGAGGCAGCAACGACACCGCCAGCGGGAAAACCACAAAACGAGGTAGCAACGACACAGCCAGCGGGGAGATGGAAGACGGTGAAGGAGAACACGCTGCACGTTAAGGATGGCGTTATACAGCTCTCGGAGGGGAAGGTGAAACAGGAAATAGCAATAAAGCTGCAGAATGTTGAAAGGGGTGTGCTGGAGATTGAGCTTGAATGTGTCCCTCTAACTCAATAGAAGCCCAAGGGTGGTTGAAGAAATCTGAAGGAAAAAAACAAAAACAAAACAAAAACAAAAAACAAAAAAAATAATGCAGGAAAAATTACTTATTTTATTTTATTTTTTATTTTTATTTTATTTGAACTGTTTTTGACTCAAATGTAAAGTGTGGTAAAACCATTTTATGCTTTGGAATGGATAAAATCCTTTATCCATACCATACCATGATTTCTGTTCTTCATGTCCTTAACTTTACATTTTAAAATATTGTGTCTGTCTGCACATGCATCACAACATTCATGACAACCACAAAAGGGATATTAGCATACTACCAGATTACAACATATCAAGAACCTAGACTAGTTTCGCCTCGCCTTCTTGATTTGAGCTGGTCATATTTAACTTCTCGCGGTCTTTTGACAGCAAGTCATAAAACGGACTTCACCCAAAGCGTGCCTTTAGATAACGATTCCGCTTTCTTGATTTGAGCTGGTCAGAAATGATCAACTTAGGTTGGTTTAACTTTTTGCAATCCTTGCCAGCTAGAGTCATAAAACGGACTTCACCCAGAGCGTGCCTTTAGATAACGATTTCGTTTTCTTGATTTAAGCTGGTCAACTATGGGCAACCTAGATTAGTTTACCTCCTTATGGTCCTATGCCAGTTAAGGCCATAAGACGAGTTTTACCCATATTGCAGATTCAGCAGATAATAGTTGCGGGCCTTCCCGGATAAATCAAAGAACCAAAGTACAAACAACAAAGATGCTATGCACAATATAAAAAAACATGAATGAATAATTGCATCAGTAAAATACACTAGTGTCAATGTCCACAGAAGGAGAAATGCCTCATAGTGAAGCAACTGCTGACATGAACATCAGACACAAAAACAAGAGACATTCTGCCATCATATCCATGTCTTGTTAGTTAACAAGCAGATTTGAATTCAAAAAGAATTTGGACAGAAAATTGGGTATCGAGAACAAAGACTACAGCCACGGCCTCGAGCAAATATCATGGGGGGTCCGGGGGAAAAGCCATTGCCAGCTACAAGTCAAACTGTACAACTAAGATGCAAATATGCAATGAAATTGTGCATCCCCTTAAATCCCGATCCCACCCTCAAGTACACTACACAACCAAAGTTCCGGAAAGGAGAGACACTTCATCTTTAGCGGAATATCAATGCCAGCCATTGACATTTTACCTTAACACGACGGTTTTGATATTCCACTATTCCAACCAAACAACATTTCACCTTAACACGATAGTATAACCATAAACCGAAGACTAACATAGAACAAGGGCTTTACGTGTGTTAACACGAATTCACATCTTTTCAAATGCAAATACACATAAATCCCTTTCTTCCCCCTATCACCAAAACACACTTTTACCACTTTCTAGCAGTTTGAAGTAATGTTCCAATATTGCAAAAGTCATTGTTCACGGGGGCACGGGGTTATTTAGAAGAATCAGCAAACCGAATCCTACTAATAAGCAGTTAATTGGAAAGTTAGATACTAAACAAATGAAGCATCGAAATATGCTATTTTATTGTCTTTTTCGAATTTTGTAATAGATTTTCATCATCCTTAAGACCAAACACCCACTCCAAGTTGGTGCCAACCTTTACAAACCATTGGGTTAACGAGGTGTCACCCGGAACACAAACCTTCACACGCAATATGTACAATCACTTAACACGCCATAACCATAATATATATATAGTCTTGGATGTAAAGCCTATTCGATTTTTACTGATACCAAAAGCTAAGGAGCACACCATAACGAGATGAATGACTCACGAGATTATGAAGATCATATCAACCGCAGCAAAGAGGACAGCGAACGAGGCCATTCTCGTTGCAATCCGGGCACCTCCTAAGCTGTTCCTCGTACTCATCGAACAGTTTCCGGCTCCCACTGCAATTCGAGCAAGGAATGAACCTTGCATCCCCGCAGCCTTGACAGATGAATCCCGGGGGGCGAATGGGGAGCCCTCGAAGCAATCTGGAGAGCTCTCCCACTTCATTCATTTGCTTGATCACTTCGGCGCCGCCAATGTAGTTTCCTTTGATGAAAACCTGCGGCAAAGTGAGGTTTTTCTCGCCGAGAATGTTTTGGAGTTCCTTCTTGTACGCACTGTCCATGGAAATGTCCCTCTCATCGACATGGACTCTGAAGCTTTTAAGGATCATTCTAACAGTGTAGCAATCCTCGAAGGTTCTCCGGATTCCTCGGAGGCTCGTGAAGTAAATGACCACTCTGTCCTCCGTCCCCGGGAGGCGAAATTGGAAAGCCCTAGAGGAATCGGAATTCGGCAATTTCGCGGCGGCGGCGGTCTTGGTGGGGGACGGCAGCGGCAGGGAGACTGAATTGGCGGCGCGTGGGGATTTCTGGTACTCGAAGAGAGAGCAGAGCTGTTTCACCTTACCCTTTATAGAACTCCCGGCCACGGACACCATAGCCTCGAACGCCGACGATCCCGGCAGCTGCTTAAACGACCCCAGCCGCTCCACTGACGGCTTCACGGCGGCGGCGGAGCCGCCGCCGTGATGTATCGTCATGGAGCGGTTGAAATACGAACCGCCCTTCATCTTAGGGTTCTCAAATTCGCCGTCTTTGCAAGCCATAACCCGCAAAACCGCTATACTACCGGAGAATTCAAGATCAAGAAAACCCCAATAATTAAAACCCAGACAATCGCAACCCTTTGGGTATCAACGAAAACGGCGGCGGCGGCGGTTCCGAGCAGATATGTGGTGGAGAAGCTGATTATGGAGGCGTGGACTGAAAGCAATTCCCCACAGAGAAAAAGAATGGAAAGAATTGAAGAGAAAGAAGAAGGAAAGGAGCGGAGCGGAGAGCTTTTTGAAAAGGTGAGGGGTTATGGGGTGTCGCTATCGATGCCGACTGTTGAACAAACAAACGAACGGAAAATATGAAAATTATGGAGAATTTTTGAATGCACAGAAAAGAGCTGTGAAACAATATATATATAACCGTGAAAAATGATACAGGAAGATGAGATAAACGATGACTAGAGTTGTACGTTGCGGAGTCCATTTTGTACATTTTTCCCGGCTCAATCCTTTTTGCAATTTTGCGTGTCTAAAAATAGAAATTTTACTTCATTTATTTATTGCCGTTTTACTTTTCTTTTATTTTCCAAATAAGAAGTTACATCTTTTTATGGATATATTTTTGTAAATTATTTTCCCCATTTTTTTTTCTTCCATATCATTAATTTATCATTAATAGAGAAAAAAAAATGACATTCGCCCTATTTGATAAATGACTGTTAGTTGATTGGGTTAATTAGATGGTATAATTAATTGAGAATATTAGTTGATTGTAGAAAGATGTTTAATTAATTAGCTGTTAACTGATAGCTATTTGGTATAATTTCTTTTCTAAAAAAACTAATTGAAAAGTTACTTTGATCAATTTTTGAATTTTAACATTTTGAAGTTACAAAAAGTTAATTAGTCAAACACTTATATTGAAATCAAGTCAAGCAATTAATAGTGATCAAATAAGTTAAAATTGACTGATAAGCTAACTATTTTATCAAACATGGCAATTATCCCTATGAAGTGAGTTTTCTATCATTCAATTATCTGTAAAATGATTTTTTTTAACTCAACTTTAATAGAATTTAAAAAAAAAAAAAAAAAAAAAAAAAAAAAAAAAAAACACTTTGCAAGTAATGGACAAAAACGGCTACTTTCATATAATTAAGAGATAAAAAGTATCAATTTTTTTCTCATCAATTTGTATCTGTCAAATGTTGAAACACGTGATATGGCATAACAAACAAGCGGATAATACTACTATCCCTCATGTTTGTCATGTCACACTATGCTGACATAATAAAACTAGTAATATTTTAAAATTATGTATTTGTTAATGTAACTTGTTATAGTCTCGACATTTTGTCATCTAATCTTTAAATACTTATTATAAAATAAATTTAACAATATTTTTTTAAACATATAATTATTATGCATTGAGGTTATCTATATCTTTTTTATAAAAAATTAAAAGAAAATCTCTAAACAATAATGAATGTTCTATTCTTTGCTTTCATTCATAATATATAAGATAAAGAAAAGAAGATAACATTTAGCCCTTTTAATGTGCCAGCTATGTTGTAGTGTAGCAATTTCAATGTACTAGGCATTATGGGATATTATTAATTAATTAACAAAAGCATTAATTAGATATACTATTGTGGCATGAATAATGTTATTTTCTTTTTATGAATTAATCTCATAATGTTCATATCCAAATAGGACATAGTTAAAACAGATAATGGAAATAGTTACTCCTCTTCCTCGCCTTACTTTGATGAATTTATCTTATAATATATTTATATTCCGATAACGCAAAGTTATTAAACAATAAAGATAGTTGTCCCTGTAATGTTCATATCCAAATAGGACATAGTCAAGAGGGATGATGGGATAGTTACTTATTGCCTCTAACCCAGCATCTTGGTTGACATGACAATAAGATTGTTTTATACTAATTAGCCGCACATGAATTAGTTAATTTTATCACTGAGTTATGAAGGAAAATTATATATGGAATTTTAGAGGTAAAACTCTTTTAATATGTCATGATTTTATTAATACATGAAAAAAAAAATGAATAAAAATTATGACCACTTTTTTTTTTCTTTTTAACAAATTCGAGCATATTACATAAGCATGGAATAAAAATTGATAATTTTTTGTGTTTAGTACTATAAAAACTGAGAATACATCTAATATTATTCACTTATAATTTATAGAAGGAATAACCAACTACGTAGTGTCACATAATAAAGTGAATATGAGGAGATAAATTTAAAAGGAGAACGTAACATCACATTATTTGAGTATTAACACAACCAAATTTAGAAACGACTAAATAAATTATTTTGCTTGATTTAAGAAAATAAAAATTTATGCCAAGCACCTTATGTTTAGATGGCATGTTCTGACTCCTCTATATGAAAGGTCATGAGATTGAGTCTCACTGGATGCAGTGTAAACTTTTTGTGCTTCACTTTCAAAAAAGAAAATAAAGATATATGATGTACCGGGGAGATGTATAAGTAATAGTATGACATGTATTCGTGTAAGCAATACATTTTTTTTTTTTTTGAATGAAGAGAAGACACGCCGTCATTACTTGAGGGTGTGTAATGTGTAATAGTCTGTAAATTACACAGTAAAGGTAAACTGCACTAAAAAAATCAAGTATAACGTGCACAACTGAGGTTATGACATTTTGATACAAAAATCATAATTCACTTAGTCACTTACTTGATCATTCCTTTCGGAATTATAACATGTAAATTTGATTAACGTAACAAGGAAAGATAATTAGCATAGTGTGTAATTACGACTAATATATAATATAAATTGCATTATTTTTACTAGTTTGTACATGATATTACAATTTTTTTCTAATTTTATATATTTATTTTTATAGTTTGTGTGTAAATAAGTAAATTTTATAGCATGGCGTGAGAAATAGGTAACTACATTGAAATAATGAGTTTTTGAGATATTGATCTTTTTGGTTGGTCCATAGCAAAAAGTCGGCCAGCCTAGTTTTCCATATTTGCTTATTTATCTTTTTTATGTAAAAGTTCTTTCATTAATATAAAAATATATAAATATACTTGAATTTTTCCAACGTGTTTTCTTATACTTCAGCAATAAGACTGTCAAGTGTCAACACGGCTTTTACGAGACCCACCTACTAATTACACTATTTTTAATTAATTTAATAAAATTCTGTCACTGTTTACTCGATGCAGAAACAAGCTAAGACGAGTCTTTTGTGACGCCTATGGTTGCCTTGCATAATTCAATAAAATAAAAGAGTACCATTACATCTTTAACCTTAAATTATAGAGTAAGAGTTAATACTCAATTTGGTCCATCGACTATTAAGATTTTATCACTTTGATCATCGACTTATCCCCAATTATGTAATTGTTAATCAAAATGGTCATAATCAGGACTAGTTTGATTTGAGTTAATTTCAGTTTTGGTCCTATGACTATTTGGGCCTTGTTAATTTCAATCCATAAGTTTCAAAACTATCAATTTAATACTTTAGAGCATCCACATTAGTTGGAAAGAATGTGAGGATAATGTAAGAGTGATTAGGAGAGAGAATGTGAGAAGGGGAGGAAAACAAAAAAACAAAAAAATCAAAATCAGAAAAATTAAAACAAAAAAAATATATATATAGAAGTGTCAGGCGCGCCGAACGGCGCGCCTGACGCGCAGCCAGGCGCGTGCAGTACTGTGGACTTGGATACTTTTTTTTTCTTTTTTCTTGGTTTTTGCAATATTTTCTCTCTTGCAGATGAATTCTTCTTCAATAAATTCTCCCCTACATAAGCTTTGCTCCCCATTGAGAAGAATTCATTCTGAAATCTCCCCATAATATGAACAAGTGTGGATGCTCTTAACTATTCACTTTTTCTCAATTTTGGTCCATTCGACCAAAGTTTCAATGAAAAATAACTAAAAAGATAAATTTACCCTCAAAATCTTAAAATAATAACTAAAAATATTATTTTTTCTGTTAACTATGTCGTGGAAGGAGAAGCGGAGGTGGCAATATAATATGCAAAAGCCCGGAGAAATGGTTGCCGACGACAGCAGGCAGAAAAGAAAATAATATTTTCAGTTATTATTTTAAACTTTTGAGGGTAAATTTGTCTTTTCAATTATTTTTTGCCAGAAATTTGACTGGATGGACCAAAATTGAGAAAATTGGATAGTTAAGGTATTAAATTGACAGTTTTGAAATTCATGGACTGAAATTAATAAAATGCCAACAGTTATAGAACCAAAAGTGAAATTAATTAACTCAGTTTGATTTTGACAAATAACTATTTTAGATAAAAAATTATATAATTGGAAATGAAATGAGCAACTTTAAAAGTCAAAGTATCAAAATGTTAAAATTCTAATAGTAGAGGGACCAAATCAAGTATTAACTCTAAAGAGTAATAATGAATAATACTTTTTTGTTGTTCTCCAAAAATTTCATTTGACCAACCTCCTTAAAGATAAGTTTTTTAAAAAAAAAATTAATTTAATGAAAGTCAATTCTAGCCACAGAATTGTGAAATTTAAATATGATTTTGAGGGGAGGGGGTGGGGGCAGAAAAAATAGGATGTAAAGTTTCATTACGAACTTGATTAACTAATAATATTGACATGTAAGATCTTTGCATATTGACATGTGATGTTCGTATGCCTCGAAACTGTTACCAAATAGAACGATATGATTCAGCAGATCCGCCCTCCAGTTCGCCTGCAAAAGATTGTCATAGTTTCTCAGAAACTGACCTCTTGGCAATTCAGAACAGTTTGTGCATCAAGCAAGTGATGTGAATGATTTTGACACAACCTAAAGTGAAAAGCCAAAAGTTTATCAATTATTAGCTATATATATAATCAAATTTTCACTCAAAATAACATACAAAAAAATATGAATTTTAAGAAACATATATACATGTTACATCATTATGTTAAGTTCTAAGCATACGTTTATACCTTGTCTGTGTGTGTGTGCGCATCTGCATGTATTGTACTTTACACTCACCTCAAGATAGCACAAACATACTTGCTACATGAATATCCACAGAAACTTCTAAATGAGAAGGCAAGATCATACAATTGGATTAAACCACTATTCCTTTGAGTAAAATTTTAGAAGCCCATCAACCCTACTTACAATTTCTGATTTCTCTCATCAATCTTCTGCACTTACTGAAATATAATCCTAACTTCTTCCTCCTGCAAATTATAAACCTTCTATTCACTTTCATCCCCTTCCACCTAACTAGCGAGTGGCTGTTATTCTCCACTCGTCACGCATTTGGATGTTTCAAATTGACAAATTCAACAATAATTATCTATATGAATATGGATTTACTGGCTGCAATAATTTATAATTCCTCAATTTAAAAAAATAAATAAATAAATCAAATATCAGATTACATTTACGAACAAATTTACAAATTAGTGAAACTACAATCAGATTACCTCTATTGACTGTTCAGCTTAACGAGTTAATGGTTTAGGGTTCATCTAGGGTTCAATACCTCAAAATTAGTTATTTCAAATATTTTTTTTTCCTAAATCTATGTCTCATTTCCAGAAAAGCACTCGCCTCCATTGATTCTCACCATGAATCCACTGCTCATTTATTTATTTATTGCATTAATCTATGCAACTGGTTCCCAACTTCCCATCAACAATATCAGAATACCATTATTGCTACTAATTCAACATCCAGAATCAATCAAAAGGCGTAATTAAGCTGCGGCTTACCACTTACCAGAATTGACAGGTTTAGCTGACAACGGCGGATGAACTTCCGGCGTCGCCGTCCAATCGCCGTGCGCCGTGCCGGTACCAATTCAGCTTCGACTGGTCTCCTGACGAGGAGGTTTTGGGTCAATTCGAAGCCTGAAAGTTGAAACCCACTTCGATCCAGTTTTGCTCTCTACCCGACCCGATTGCGTCATTTTCTACGGAGTAAATCTTAATCACCAATTTCATAATTGGTCCAATCGATATTGACAAAGTACCTAAAAATATCCTTTAAAATTAATTATGGACCACAAATCAATTTTCACTTCCATGCCATCCATTTGTCATCATTATAATTTATTCAAAAATTAAATTTAGTCAATTATATACACACACACACACATTATTTAAATACATATATTGTATTTTTAGACCATTTTACAATATTATCCATACAATGAAATATTATATTATAAAAAATGAGGACGAGATAAGTGAGTAAATAATACGTAGTACTACTAGCAAATAAAGGTATTGATAATTTAAAGATTTTTACTACTTATAAATTATGATTTTATAACTAATTACTTTGTAAAAATATATTGTATTCATTAGAAGAGAGAAATCATATATCAAATTTTGATACACACACACATTATTTAAAAACATATATTGTATTTTAGATCATTTTTACAATATTATATATGTACAATGAAATATTATATTATAAAAAATGAGGACGATAAGTGAGTAAATAATAGCAAGGTATCTATAACTCAAAGGTTTTTACTACTTTTAAATTATGATTTTATAACTAATTAATTTGTAAAATATATTTTATTCATTAGACAAGAGAAATAATATATCAAAATTTGATTTGAAAGTGTGCACATTGTGAAACTTTTTCATAATGCTTTAGTCAAGAAAGGACTCTAAGGGCTTGTTTGGTTCGCGGAAAATATTTTAAGGGAAGTGGAATCGAAATTTTATGGAAAAACAATTACTAAAAAGATGAATTTCATTGTTTGGTTGGTGGAAAAAGAATTACTGAAAATACTAATTCTATTTTTTGGTTAGATTTAGAACTGTAAGGAATAATGAGTATAAAGACTTATATGTCCCTCCAAATTAATAAGAGTAATGTAATTAAGAAAGAAAATAAGGGTAAAATAGTCAAACAATATCACTTTTTCTTCTCATCTTCCCTAGAAAACAAAATCCTTAGTCCAACCAAGGATTTTGTTTTCTTCAAATTTGAGAAATTCATTTTCCAATGGAAAATGAATTTCGTGAACCAAACACCAAGAAATAACATTTTCCTCCACTTTAAGGAAAATATTTTCCTTTGAAAAACATTTTCCATGAACCAAACATCCCCTAATAAGATAAATCAGCTATGACAAGTCTTGGTTGTTTGGTTTTGAGAAATCAACCTTTAATCAAGAGTCAAATTTGTAATCTAAGATTACGAGCTTACTATCAATCAACCTAGTTGTGATCAAAACGCAAAATTAATAATCTTTTTTTAAGAAAAAATTAACAATAATTAATACCACAAAATCATATACCAAATCTAACAAGTAAATATGTGATTGTAATTTGTAACAACATGCGTGGATGTTAGGAAAAGACGTTGGCGACTAAAGCATACAACTAATCGAGGCTGGTTTAGTCACATCATATGATAGTGAGAGATTACAAATGAAGAATAATTATAAACAAGTTTTGAAATTTTGAAATTATGTGAAAAATAAAATTATTAGAAATTTTAAAGTATCAACGGATATCATTACTCTTTTTATATTAAATATAATCATAAATCATAAATATTATTATAAAAATAATGGTTTTAGTTTATTAATTATACATAAATTATAGACTCAGTCCATAAATTATTGCTCTATATAACATTTTCCCTTTAATTATGTTGAAAGTGGTTGTTTCAATACATTACTTATAAATTTTGTTAAAATTAAAATTTTATTTTGATTTGCCAAATTATTAGAGGACAAAGTGAACATTTTGTAAAAACTTTCTAAGAAAATAAAGTTTTTCATATTGATGATTTTGAGTGAATGTTAGGTTTGTTGTAATGTTGATTACATGAAAATATGAGATAAATTTTCATTATTATTAAATATAAAGTTAATTCTTAACTGTTTAATGCAAGTATAAATAAATTCTGAATTTTTAATCATATTTCGATTTTGACCTTCTCATAATGAATAATTAGAAAACAATTTTTTTTTTAATTATATTTAAATTTTATGAAACAAAATTGCTTGAAATATTGATTATATTATTTATCGGTGGAAAATAAATTATCGAAAATAATTAGTATATGGACTCAATTATTCTTACATAATAAAGATGTGAGTGTAATATAGAAATTCATATTTTATATTTTCTCAGTGTGAAAAATAAAATATATAAAGATGCTAAGGAATTTGTTTTCCTGAAATTGAAAAAAGAGAGAAAATGATGATTTTAGTGTATTTATTATGCCTAAATTGTAGACTAATATATTCCCCTGTAACCAACATTACAATAAACCAAACATTCCCTTAAAATGATTGATGTGAAAAGTTTTTTTTTTTTTTTTTTTTTACTTGGGAAAATTTTATAAAATGACCAATTTGTCCTCTAATAATTTGGTAAATCAAAATTCCTTTTTAATGTTAAACGAAATTTATAAGTTATGATTGAAACAACAACTTTGAACATAATTAAAGGAGAAAAGTTGTATAGAGCAATAATTTATGGGATTACATCTACAATTTAGGCATAACTAATTGACTAAAACCGTCATTTTTTTATGGAGATTATTCCCCGAATACTGTGCATGTACGGTGGTCGGTAACGGGCCCCCTTGAACGTGCTAAGCCTGACCCGACCGAAGGCTCGCGCCATCCCGACCTTGCATTGCCTATCGAGCTGGACTGGAGGTTACGTTCATAGGCAGCATTGTGATACCAACCTGCTTAGGTCGAACCGACCTACTAGTGCCTCGTGGCATATTACAGTGCACTCAAGAATATCAGGCCACGTGGTTAAGGGCCCTTGAGCTCCAACCTGGAGCCATGCATGAACTCCACGTGCTGCAGAGTTAGGACATGTCCCCTCGTGACCCTTATAAATATCGCATTTTACTACTGTCAAGTGAAACTTTTGGCTATTTTCACACGCTAGCTAGTAGCTCGAGAACCTCTGACCCACTATTACGGACGCCGAGCTATTCTACTTAAACCAACAAGCATCAAGCATACTAAGTACAGCATCCGAAACTGAAACCGATCTATGATCGTATATTGTAGAGAATACCCCTCGTATATACTAGATCATTTTCCATATATTATTTGAATTATATTTGATACTATTACCTTTTATTCTCACAGTATTTTGTACAACTCAACATACTATATGTGTAATCTAGTATCCCACAATCGACGGTCAAGGTAAGTTAAATTGGTTGGTTGATACTTTGCTAACAATTATTATGAATTCCCAATTCCAACGGTCCACAATTATTGTGAATTCCTAATTCCAACGGTCCATAATTATTGTGAATCTCCAATTTCAAGGTCTCCTCACGTCTCGCCTCTGCTGAAAAGATATAAATCATGGTAACTCAGCTGAACAAAGAGATTAAACCTTTACTCGCTATGCACAATGAGCCCCCGTCACTTTAACGGGGCGTTTGGTTGGGGGGAGGGAATTACGTGAAAAAGGAATTGCAATTCCATGAAAAATGAATTATCGGGAATAATGTGGAAATTTAAATTCCAGTATTTGGTTTACATGAATATAATTACTGGGAATTTCAATTTCAATGTTTGGTATATATGAAAATTGAAAGGGTTAAGTAGTAATGAAATTTTAATTCTATGAAAATGAGGGAATTGTGGAATTACAATTCCTTCCAACCAAACTAAAGGAATTTAGTTGCCTTTAGAATTGGGTGGCAATTAAGTAAAAATGAAATTTAAATTCGATCCAGAATCATTATTCAATCATTATTCTCAAATTTCATTCCATGTGACCAAAGTGCTTATGCGAAAACTATTTAATCTCTTTAAATATGAGACACTCACAAAAGCATCCAAACTTCCCTCTCTCTGAAAGCACAACCCCAACCTCTCTCGCCAATATAAAATACATCAACTGCTACAACCTCTTCTTGTCATTCTTGCCTTCAAAATTTTCAAAACCCTTCCAAGTACATCTCAGCTCTTTTTATTTAATCATTCCCCCAATTATTCCTCAATTCCCGCTGTTTCATCTTCTCCATCTTCATCTTATCTTCATCTTTGTCGTCTTCCCCTCTTCGAAGGAGATTTAGGTATTTTGGTTAGAAGAGAAGAAGAATGCCAATGCGATGGAGCAAATCGATTTGGATTGCAAAACTGGTGTGGTACGGTCTCAGCAGGTGGCTCGCAATTTGCTTCCTTCTCGCAGACGAGATGGCCAGCACGCTGGAGCATGATCCTCACCATTTCCGCATCAATTTCTGAGTTAATTATTTCCTCGACTTGTGAGTTTTATCTTCCTGTAATTTGTCGGTGTAGAAGGAGGGAGAGGTTACCATTTTATGTATTCCTCTCCTTTTTTTCTTTTGTATTTTGCTTTGTTGAACTTTAAAGCGGAAGTGAAATTATTTGCGGCTGCCTGCATCTGCAGGAAAAGATATTAAATTCAGTGATGTCTATGTGGTGTTGATGTTTTGCAGAGTTAAATTCAGAATTTCGTCCACACATTTAATTTCTCTTTCTTTTGTCGTGTAAAGCTTCTTTCCACACAATTTGTTTCTTAGAAATTTACTGCTTCCCACTCATGAATTCATGACCACAACTTTAGCCCTAACCTCTGACCTCCTACCTTCCTCTTCTGTAGAGACGGCAACAGGTCTGGTAAAATTATATTTTGTACACAAAATTCTATTGTATGTATTTATTATTTCCACGAGGTTCATTTTAATTATAAAAAAAATCAATTTTATAATTACTACATATTTTGAAGTTTGTAATATTTATAAAATTAATTTTATTATTTTTCTCTTTATGTTTTAAATAATGTCTAACAATTAATATATTCAAATAAATGAATCAGATCATTTTTTAATTTTATGGATTACGGAATCATGCCATGGCTGAAATTGAGGTTAATCTCCATCACAAGCAATCTCACGTGGATATATTCAGTTTCATTATTTTGCCGGCAATTCAAGAGTTATGTAATCAAGAATAGAATGGCAATTTATATTGTGGACCAGGGGTGCACTGTGGACATAATGTATAGAATTTATGTTTATAATACACAGACATATAAACATGATATAATAAAACATATAAACACTTAATATACATAATTTATATTTATAATATACAAAATTCATGTTCATAATGTACAAAATTCATATTCATTATATCATATTTGTATATGTATATAATGAACATAAATTCTGTGAAGTCAAATTATTGTATTGAACCAAGGTCCACGGTATAACGATTGGAATAGAATAGTTTGGGCAGGTGGGGCATGTGATTGAATGTATTCATTCGTCTAATCAAATGTAATCATCGTACCAAGAAAAAAATACAATAAGAAAACAAGATAGTTGGGCTCCTCAATGTAGTTGCTACAGAGATAAAGCTACAATACAAATTTTTGGGAGTTCAAAGAAGATATCAATAAACAGCATGCAAGCTATGCTCTCATTACTGTGTGAACAAAAATTACAACTGCAAAAAAAATCTCAATGGAAACAGCTTAAAGCTACTACTAGTGTTTATGAAAACTGGTCTATTGATGTCCTCCTTGTCCTTGGCCATGTGGCGGCGGCCCTGGAGGGAGTGGTGGTGGCATGCCCGATTGCACTCCAAAATTCGAGGGCATAGATTGCTGCAACAAAAATGAATGAACAATACATAATCATATATATATATGTATATATACTGACTGTAATTGTTAAGATGCAAGAGAATTGTGAATAGGTTCGTTTCCACGCATAAGCCATCACTTGTGTGCAGTGCAGCATAGAAAGATTAAGTTATCCCTTATGCTAAGACCGATGCTTCTTTTGATGGGATAGGGAAAGCAACGTCCCAGTTATGGAATAGGAAAGCAGCTAACCTGAAAGTGATTCATCCCGGGCATGAGTGGCATCTGCCCACCTTGCGGTCTGTTGAAGCCTCCACTGGGCTGAAACATTTGGTTTCCACCTGTGTTTGGAGGGCCTTGCATTGCCTGCATTCCTCCGGGTTGAGCGTTCATACCCATAAAGTGACCTTGAGGCATTGGAGGACCCATCTGGTTCATATTACCTTGCATCCCCTAAAATAAATTAACGAAGAAGCAGATCAAAATAAAACCAAATACCAGTTTGTAATTATTCTATTCAGGAGAATGGGAAAATGAGTACCATTGGACCGGGCATTTGCATTGATGGAACGGGCATAGATCCAGGCATTGAAGATTGGACACCTTGCATATTCATAGGCTGTAACTGGGGAGGTGGGCGAGGTAAATGAGGATGCTGCATCATAGGCATATGAGATGGGGGTTGTAGTGGGAGCAACGGCATAGAGTTCATTTGCTGCTGTGGGACTTGCTGCATATTTTGTTGATAACCTTGCTGCTGATTTGCAGCACGAAGGGATGGATGGGGACCGGGAGGAAGTGGGGGAGCACCCATAGGCATCGATAGAGATAAAGGATTCTTTTGATCTCCTTGTGAGGATGAATCAAGGGATGGAAGAGACAGTGGCATTGCAGCTCCAACGCCAGGAATTGTGCCCTCATTTCGTATCAAACCAGAACCAAACGCTCCAGGCGTTGATGGAGCATCGGGTCCTCCAACATTACCTGGCCTGTAACCTAGAGCAGAGTTTTGATCATTGGTACCTGGAATAAATTCAACAAAATCGCATTAGGCTACTAGTGACCTATATCATTGACAGAATGCTTCTAGTTGAAGAGAGTGAATCAAGAATACTGAATTTCATATTTATAAAACTAAACAATGCAACTCTACATCAACTAAGTGGTAAGACAAAAGCAGATCTACTGAAAAGAACTGAGTGACACTAGAATAATAATTTTATGAGGTCCATAAATGGAAAATCGGTCCACACCTTGCTGATTCAAGCTAAATTTATCACGAGCTAAATCCCCAGGCCTATTTCTGCACCAGAACTTTGTTGCATGATCATTGCTGCCACTGCATCAACAATAACAAGAACTTAGGAATGATGACCAGAAGGTTATAAGCTATTTAAGGATACAAGTAACAATGACAAATTCAGGTGCATTTGCAAAATTAGAGCCAAAACAAGAATGAAGCTAGCAATCCTAGCATACAGATAAATAGAAGAAAGCTAATGATCTCTCCTTGAGAGACAAAAAAAAAAAAAAAAAAAAAAAAAAGAAGAGAGAGAATAGGGAGGAATCAAACAACAAAAACCCTACAGAGACAATAATAATTTTCTGTCAAATTTAATTCGCATTTAGCGAACTAGCAGCAAAATTGAGATAAAGAAAACATGAGGCGATAAATAGTGGAGCCTAAACTCCACAAAAGAAATACCATGCCATGCGAGAAGTAACAATTTCCATCCAGTTAAACAAATAACATCAAGGTAAGATATTATTATGAGTCAAGGAAGAAGTGAAGAACAAAGTTTGCCAACATATCATTTTATACTCTATACCTTCTTACAATAAGTAAATACAGTAAACACATTTGCAAGAATGACACATCCAAACATAATCAAATTACACACATAAAGCATGATGAGTCAAAGCAGGCTTCTCCTTGAACTAATAATAGGACTAGCCCTAACAATGACAAGATTGTGGTTGTAAAATAAAAATTCATACCTGCAAAGAATATACCCTATTGGGTGCCATGCAAGATCACAAACACCACTATCATGTGCATTTGTAATTTCAACTTGAGGAGTTTCATGCCTGTACAACCGAACATGTAAGGCAAGATAATTAACCAAAGGCACTTCCAGAAAAGGCAACATTACTAATAAGGGGGAAAAGCCATAGCCAGCATAATATATATCACGAATATTACAGGATAAACCAAAAGAAAATGAAATACCAAAAGAGAGGGAAACTAAGAAGGCATACCCCACAAGCCAATGAAATATTGAACCGTCATAACTCCCACTAACAAAATACTCTTCATGAAATGGATGCCAAGCCAAAGCTATCATAAACAAACAGTAAGATAAGTAATAAGATATAACAAATCATAACACATTCTAGAATAAGTGCAAGAATATGATGGCCATTGGCCAAATGGCCAGTACAGTATAAACAATGGAAAACGGCACATGAAAATATTATGTGACTCAAAATTCTGAAAAATACTTAGCAAAAGCTCTCAGTGCAGAAGTTAATGAAAACACGTGTGGTAACTGGTAAGTAACAAAGGTATCAAATAGTGGTAGGATGGTACGGGTATGCTAGTTGTGGCGGATGATAGGTAGGTGAAGGTAGACAAATAGCAAATAGTGGTAAGTAAGCAATGATAATAGTGGAGATTGTGGTGGGGGGATTGGGTATACGTTGGTGGGGGTGAGGATACATAAGTAGCGGAGGTGTTGATAGGTGGGGTGAGGGCAAATAGATAGATGATTGGGATAAGTAGGCAATGCAGTAGTAGATGAAAGTAAGTGTTGATAATATCATGATAATACAAGTGGTGGGGTGGATAATTGGTAGTGGGGGGAGGTAGAAATTTGTTAGTGACAGTGACCAAAAGTGAACTAATACGGAGTACATTTTTGTATTTGGAAAACACTAAAAAGTGTTTTAAATCCCCTTTTAGGTTGGAATACATTGTTTGATATCTAATTTGGAAAATAGTAGATTTTGGACACACTTTTTTCCATTTTTCCATAAAATGGAGAATTCTGCAGTTTCTAAACAGGCCCTAGATATTTAAAGTATGTTAATGGCAGTCAGGCAGCAAGAAGATTAATTTTAGCTGTACTTTATATAAAAAGCAGTTATATTCATTTTTAAGGTGACTTTCGATGAACTATATAGCTCACTTCAGTTTTAGAATAGTATAGCCCATAGCTAAATTGTTAGAGTTTGTTTTTCAGTTTTAGCCTCTCTGCACATATTTGGCCCTTCAACTGCTGAATGTTCAGAACTTGCCTTCCCAAATTCGCTAAATCTGCACATTTTCTTCACATTTGGTTTTTTTTTTTTTTTAAATAACAGCATATCTACACTTGTAAACCTATTATTGGATACTTGGATTTGTTGGGAATTGTTGCTGATATTATCTCCTCACCACCTAGATATGTCATATGGCTAAAGCCTCAATATGCTACTTTCATATTAAAATTTTCTCTAGCAATTTCAATATAATTTTCCTGTGAATTAAAATTCGGCCACAAATTATTTTGCTGCACACAATTTGACACCACAAGCAGCCTTCTTAATTCTTACAAGATTCTAAATATTTTTCCTTGTATACTCTTAGACAAGCATTGCCGTTCAAACTAGCAAATAAACTGTACAGTTTCACACAGCTTCCAACAAGTGGATGCAAAGCTGGTAGTGTAACTGCTTTTGAGCAATCTAACAGAAAATGAACTGAGTAATTTCTTACCTGTGACATCTTTTCGATGCCCACGAAATGACTCAAGCTCCTTCATGGCCCTTATATCATAAAGCTAACAGCAAGAGACAAATTATCATAAGAAAACATAAACAACAAATTATTTACTTGTGCTTCACTTAATTAAATAAGTCACAAATGTGATAGGTACTCTTGAGTCTTGATTTTATATTTTTATACTTGCCTAATTTTAAAGCATATATGAGTGGCAGTTATTCAATATATAATCAAAAAAGTGCAGGACACTTCCTACAGTTTATGCCTATAATCCTTCTTCCTTGCTAGACAACTATAAAAAATTTCCAAGAATAGAACCTTACCTTTATAATTTGATCCTTCGAAGCAGTAAGGACCCAGTTACCATTTTGATTCCACTTGACACAAAGAACAGTATTCTTGTGGCCATGACTGCAAACCAAAAAGGATCTCAATATTACTGCGTTGTGAAGTGTGTCCTCTAGGTTTGTCATGAAACTAGCGGAAGGGTCAAAAGAAAAAATAAAAGGAATAGCATCTTTACTGACAATGAGCACAACTCTCTCCCTGACTTGGCATCCCAAAGTTTAACAAGATTGTCTTTTCCACCTGACAGAACAATATATACACAATAAGACGATTGGTCCTAACTACTTAAAATATGAATAGAAAAAGGATAATTCTTTTGTGTTCCAGGAGCATTAATCGCCACATTATCCACTTTCAGAGGGGCCACAAAGGATAGAAAGGTAGATAGTATTGAGATTAAGTTACTGGGGTAAAAAAAAAAAAAAATCATTCACTCCAGGAGCAAGCAAGAAACTTTCTAGAAAAAAGTAAACAAAGAGCAGGAAGAGAAGCACACCTGACACCAGTAAAGACTTTGTAGGATGCCAATCAACACTCTTCACATCCCAACCATGGCCTGCCTGAGTCAAAATGGCACAAAGAAATATTTTCTTAGACTATCATATGCAATTATGCCATAATTGGCAGAAATTAAAAATGTTAATGTCATCCTTAAATCCAGAAAAGATATGTTTCATGGCATCAATGCATCATTAAATCAAATTTAAAAACCAGAGGCACATTACCGGATAATGAGCGCTCTTCTTGGCACCGAGCAAAGTCCCAAACCTTAACAGTAGTATCATCAGAACAAGAACAGAATTTCAAATCTGTCCGGCAGAAGCTAGTCCAGAATCAAGTATTGAGAGAAAAGAGTAAGTAGTGATAATTCAAAAATAGCTTTGCTGTTAAAATAGGATTATTAAAGGGAATAAACAATTCAGACACTGTCAGAGAACTAATTATGCAAATCTACACATAGGCACAAAAATAAAATTATCACAATTTAAATATACAATAGAAAGATAACTTAAATGCAACCCAAATCTCATAGTGTATACCTTAAGTCACGTACTGATTCTTTATGTGCAGTTTTATTAGCCTTTACATTATTCATGTTTGTCTGCCAATATCTGCAACAGTGTACACATGTGAATAAAAAAACTGATTCATTAATTGAATTGAACAAGTGAAATCCATTTAGATGTGGTCTTAATAAGGTTTTACTTTATAGCACCCCCATCATCACCAGTTACCATCCAGTTGTCATTGTAGCTCCATACCATTGATCTGACTGCCTGATCATGAGCCTGTAAGTTAAAAGTTGAAATTTCCATAAGTGCCATTCACCAGTTGTTTCAATAAGATAACGATGTACACAATTTCAAATTTCATACCTGAAGTATCATTTCAAAGTTAAAAGACTGTCCATTCCAGAGAGTAAATTCACCACTTTGAGATCCAGTAATAAGACGCCTCCCAGTAGGTGTCCACTTCAAACAATTAAAATGGCAAGGATGCAATAATTGAATACTTAACCATTGTAACAAAGAGCATTGGATTTGATTGAAAATATGCTACCAGAATGTGTTTAAAATAAAATAGGACTTGTAGCAAACGTCTTCAAAGTAATAATTAACATCAACCTGAACTCAGCAATTGATCTCCAGTCTTCTGTTTTCATGTCATGTATGTGTTAAATGGTTGACAAGATTGGACAAACAATTACCCCGATCTCATGTTTGGTTCATTTTAGAAACATTCGGGTGAGGGGATTATTTATCCGTCTTTAAAATATGAAATTAACCAAGGAGTTGTAGATCATTTTGAAGCAAACAAGTTCAATGGTTTAGTATGGTGTAAGGAATAGGTTCGCAGTACACCAAAAAAATTAGACAAGAAAGAAATAGCATATCAAACCACAATGTTTTAATCAAATGTGGCAGTCTAAAAAAAATTCCTTCAAAAACATTAAAAAGAAAATCAACCAACAAAGTATTGTAGCAATACCATTTCATAGGGAAAAAGAAACTAAAGTCATTTTTTAGAATATCCAATATACTTGTACTCTATGAGAATTTCACATCTGAAGTATATTCATAACAGGATCCACCAAGAAGTGGGAAACGAACTATAGTGAACAAAAATTATTTACAAAAATAAGCAGGCAGCAGCTAACACATTTAGACACGAGTTAAGATGTCTACTAAGTGAATAATAAGATGGGGCAAGGCCATAGAATACCATGTATTGACAATTACATTGCACAAGCATTTTTAAGTGGTACTCCTAAATTCATTTTTTTATTTTTTAAAAAAAAAAAAAAACAAAGAATTGGCACAAAAATGGAGAGATTAGGAAGAATATGTAAAAAACAAAAACAAAATAAAACAAAAAAAAACAAAGAGTTCACAACTAACTTACCACAACACGATTAATTGAACAACGGTTTTTGTTGAGTGATGTATGAACAAACTTTGCAGCAAAACTGGTGGACGGGTTATCTACATAGGCACCTGTTGGTAGCATCTGGATATGTTACCAATAACAAAAAAAATACCATTAACAAACAGCTAGACACAGAAGAATATCTGCTCTGACTTGAAAAAGGATCAGCTTGGAACCAATATGAAAATTTACCTCCATGAAAAACCTGAGAGAATATAAGACAGAAAAGTAAATATAATTCAATGAGTAAACTCACGTCAACTGCTGCTGCTGGGGTAGGTTGCAATACAGTTCTGTCCCTTGAATCCCGTTGCCACATGCGAATCTACATGCCAAAATCAATGTCATTTATTAAGATCGTGGGTAACAAATAATATATGAAATAGAAAGTATCATATATTATCAAAATACACATCTAATTGGAAGAAGCACAGTGACCCAGGCATAACCTAGCAATATGAGATGAACAGAGATATTGGTCCTTGTATCTCTTACATTTTTCTCTATTGGTAGTGAAAGGTACTTGTTTACTTTCATCTATATCAGTCCTTTGCCACATTCATATTAAACGAGTCCTCTAATAAAATGCTAAATCAGAATAACAACAATGCAATGTAAAAATAGATAAAGCATACAACTATACAAGGTTCTTAAAACCCCTAACAATTGGCTTACTGGTAACAATTTGAACATCAATCTGGAGGCTTTGAAATCACAAAGTACATATGAAATATGAATGCAGTGAATGCTGCGCATGAGATAACATTCAACAATCATTACCTGCATATATCGTACAACTGTACTAGTATAGTCAACAGCTCTTCTTTGTCCCATTTTCCTTATTCTCTTTGCGGCATAACTGTCAGCATGAGCTGCACCTGCAGGGGTACAAAGAAAAGCAATATGGCCATATCTTAGATTCTCCTGATGAATTTGTCCTAACCCAATCTCTCACATTCACTTTTTCCTAAAGGCCAATGCTTCATATGAAGTTTAAGCAAAGCACCCAATATAGAGCTTATCTCATTGGGAGGGAATAATTAGTGTGAACATGGAGATTTAAAATGAACTGAAGGAAAATTAGGAATTCTTTCTTTATTAGAAGTTAGAAGAAAATAGATTAAATCACGAAAAAAAGATAATTCTCATTCCTAGGTTTCCTTTTCAGTGTAAATGCTTTCAAATAGAGTCACCAGTAACAGAATTTTTGTACTAAAGATTATATAGGAATTAAAACAAAGGATTTACCCCATATGCAAAGTCCAACAAGAGAACACCGTGCAATAGGGCATCACATTAGGATTTCCTTCAAATGTGATTTCTTTCAGATGCATCAACAAATATCAATAACTAACTGAATTTCAGTGGAGACAAAGACTGGAGGCAAAAGGTTTTACCATCGTAAGCGTGATGAGGAGGAGGAGGTCCAGGGGGCATGGAGGGGTGGTGATATTCGGGAGGGGGAGGGCCATTTGCGTTGAGAGTAGTGGAGGAAGCCGAGGGCTGACGCATCATTTGAGGCGGACCGGGCGGAGGTTGTGGACCCCTTGGGAAGTCTCCGAACGGATATGGCTGCTGGTGCTGGTGTTGGTGTTGGTGATTAGGCGGCGGCGGCTGCGGGTGGTGCTGCTGTTGTTGGTGGTAGTGGTGTTGCTGTTGCTGCTGCTGTTGTTGTTGTTGCTGTTGGTGATGGTGGTGGTGCTGCGATGGATCGCCGGCGGGCATCATCTTTGTCGACGACGAGAATAACCCACTGCCCTAGCCCTAAGACTCAGATAAATTAAAAATCCGGAAACGAAAATGAGTGACAGAATTAGGTGGAAATTAGCGGGAAACTTTTTAATTTGGGGATTTTGGGGTTAGGGTTTAAGAACGGGAAATGAATCAATGATAGTTTGGATTCCATGAAGAGAGAGCAATTCACCTTATCACTGTTCAACCAAACAAAAAACAAAAATCAAACAAATCAAGAAAATCAGCTATTGTAAAATGAATAATGTTATTTTCTCACCCTGAAAAAGAAAAGATAGAAATGGATAAAACATAATTTTTATAATAAAATATTATGAATTTAATTATTGTCAACACACTCTCAACCTACTGAAACACAAAGAACCAATATCGCCACGCCTCCATTACATTGTAGTATCTGTTCATATACTTTCTCAACCTACTGAAACACAAAGAACCAATAACGCCTCCACTGAGGTTTGAACTCATAATCTTCCAAATGGAAGTCCAACCCGGATACCATTAGACCACATAGTCCTGGTTATTTCTCATATATAATTTGTGAGTTATTACAAAGATATTGGTATAATTTATCTAGTCCTCACACGTAAGAATGTGAAATCAAGAGAAAAATATAACATCATTCTTGTAAAATGATTGAATTTTATAAATGGATAGTATATGTTAGATGAATTTCTCATAACATGATTGAGTTCGAAGGACAATATATTATTTTTGAAAAATGATATCCATAACATATCAATTTAGATGATATGTTAGACTTATTTCTATAACCTAATATCTTCTTACCTTTATTTCAAATGCATCAAAATACAAAGTAGATACTAAATAATATGTTATATATGTTATTACTCATATGAACAATTGAAACATGTGTTATATTTCAACTAAAAGTTTAAGATGTTAATGTGTCAATACGTCTCCTCACGTGTGCGGGTCATTTACTTTTGACGGACTCGATGGACTCTAAGTAACAAGCAACATGTAGATCATAATTTTTTTATCATGTAGTCATAGGGTTGGCTCTAATACTAAATTGATGTGTCATATCTCCACTGATAATTTGAATGCACATTTATGTTTATATATTATATCGTATATATATACTCGATACGAGATATATCTAATCTTTAGGAGATAGTTGGTAGACAAAAATCTTATCATGACATTTTTCTTAATTTTTTCATATTTTATCCCTCAAATGGATACATGAACAACATCATCATCATCATCTAAACCACTTGCACAGACATTGATCAGTTCATATTGTAACTTAATTCTCAATTGAAAATAAATTTCAGAACTATTACTTTCTATTGAAATTTGAAAGTATTACAACTGTAATTGTGTGTCGAAAAATTGGGGTGGGTAGTGTTGTGTGGCCCATACATACAATTGTTGTCAACCATATATGTCTGCCAGTTTTCAAGCAGATCAGATTCGATGTTCGATTCAGTTCTGAATCATGGCTAAATTGTCTGGGATCAATTCTTGGATCCGCCAGGTGTTCGATTCAATTCCCCACCCATTTACGGCGCCGGAAGCTCTCGCTTCCATGAATCTCAGCCGCCGGGGTCAATCGCGTCCATCAAATTCAGCTCCGTCCAACGTTTTCCGACGAAATCAAATCAAACGATCCCACAAACCGCCGCCGTCGATTCGGGGGAAAACGCCGCCTTCCCTTTGCACCCGTTCAACAGATGCGGTTTGAGGCGGTTAACGTCGGACTGGCGGACCGGTTTAAGGAAGAACTCTTCTGCGCCTTCCGCCAAACACCTGGTGATCCTGGACGGAACATCCTCGGACGACATGATCACGACCGGAATATCCTTGAACGCGGCGCAGCCTTTGATCTCCCTCAGCAGATCGTACCCCGTCATCCCCGGCATGCTGTAATCCGTGATGATGAGATTCACTTCCACCTCGCTCAACAGCCCCAGCGCCTTGCTCCCGGAATCCACCACCGTCACTTTCACGTTTTCCGATGATGTTTTCAGCAGCCGCTCGATGAGCTTCCGGTCCACCACGCTGTCGTCCACGGCAAGAACGTGGAAGAACTCCGAACCATCATCCAAGGTTGCCATTTCTGATCTTCTCCTGGGATTGATGAAAAAAAGGTTGGAATTTGAATTGGGTTATACAAGAATAAGAAGAATATGAGTTTTTTGGTTTGGTTGATTTGAAGAATTGAAGGTGTTGGGGGATATATATGAGGGGGTTCAAGATTCAAGAAGATATGGGGAAGATATGGTGGTAGCATGACAGTTTGGAAAATTAAAGGCAAATGCAAAGAGGATCAGACCAAACATGTATTCAAATCTTGAAGATCTTCATGTTTGGACACTTTGATTTGGACAGCAACCAATGACCCTTCTGCTGTTTTTAATTCTACCATGAATTTTTTATTCATCATGGTGGACCTTTCCTTTTTTTTCCAATATTATATTCGGTGGATTACTATTATCCACCACTCGATTTTTGAATGGCAATAAAAATTCATAATCACTAACAAAGGTGTATATTTAGTAATCTCTGTTTTGTGGTCTTGGCAAGCAAATGACTGCACGGAGGTAAATCAACCCAGGTTGATTTTTTTACAGTGTTGACTCGGTTTTAACATTCTTAGAAAAATTAACCAATCAAGTAACAAATGACTGATAACTGAATTGCCCGCTTTGCATATATGAAAAGTGGTAACATGTATAATTAAGGAACAAAATGTGTGATAACTTCTAATAATTTATGGACAAAACGTATCACTTTTTCTTATTAGTATATATCATTTTGTATCGTAACTGATACTATCCGTATCACAAAAAAGTAGTATGTTGTCAAAATCTAATAAAAATTTAATTTTTATTTTTTGCATAGTATTTGGGTAATATATTGCCACGTAATATTATGAGGGGAATGCACACCAAAAAAATGAGAATATTATGTGGGAAATGTAAGATGATCGTAACAAAAAAGAAAAATATATGGTTATTTATGGTCTTAAAGAATCCAAATTTTAATTAATTTGCAAATTATTATTGCATTATTGTATTTATAAGAAAAAGAAAAATTTCTTTATCACGTTCTTTCATAATTGTCAAATCTTTAAAAAATAGAACTTTTTTTTCAAACGATGTTCAGATAATATTTTGGTGATTGTATTAAACCACTCACTTGGGTTGTGGAGCAATCGCATATGTTTGCACCAACAGAATCAAATATTAGTTGGGATTTTAAATTATTGTGTTCAATAAAATACAACAACTTGACCCTTTGATTATGACAAGGGCTGCCTGCCCTTAATAAGGGCAAGGGCTGGCCCTTCACTTGTCGGCTGCTTTGTTTATTGTTTAATCCTCCAGATCACGAGCCTCTGGATTTTGACTTAAAAATTTTATCATTAAGAAAATTATAAAAAAATCAAGATTTGCCCACAGTTTTTCAATTTTGTTAGTTGTTTTCCTCGTATTGACCGCCTATCACACAAAAATAAATTGGATGCTTATATAAGAGATTCCTTTTTTTTTTTTTTTTGATAATGTATATAAGAGATTCCTAATTAATGTATTTGTAATAAAATATCTTGATTACGGTTGACAATCCAAAGGAATTAAAATCGACTTAGGGAAAAATTGATTTGTTATAAAAAGTCAGTCTAAAGTCTAATTTCTATTTTAAAAGACTTGAATGCGCTTGTTTATAGATATTATTTCGTTCAAAATTTTTTGAATAAATTGTTAAATAATACATGTGCACAAATTGTAGTATCAATTAATAAGGGAATACGTTGTCCTGATTAATAATTGTGATATTAATTAGCATTAATATCATTAGTATTAAAATAAATATTTACAATTTGCAGTGGTCATGCCCTCAAGATTATATATTGTTACAAAGTCTCTTCTCAAAACTTTTATTTTTTGAATTATAAGAAGAGAAATATCCACATTCAAAAAAAATAAAAAATAAAAAAAATAAGAAGAGAAATATCCATAAGCTAAAACCCATTATCTTCTGGAAAAGTACCAAGGCAAATGACACCTAATTCATCTTTTGTGGGGATTTTTAAAAATTTGGCTTATCAACTAATTTTACCTTATTTGATCACCAGTAAATGTTTGACTTGATTAAACAATCAATATGAGTGTTTGATTAATTAACTTTTTGTAACAATTTATTGTTTTAAAATGTTAAAATTCAAAAAGCTGTTCAAAGTAGTTTTTTCAATCAATTCTTTTTTGCAGTAATCAACTATCAGCTAACAACTAATTTACTGAATACTTTTCTATAATCAATTAATGTTATCAACTAGTCAAACATTCCAGTAACCATTATTAATTTATTTTTATTACTTTATACTAATATAACACACGTTGATTTGTCTAAAAGGTTACAAAATTTGTCCATTTCCTTCTTCTAATAAAAATCAAGATGTTACAAGAGTACACCAAACATTTTCCTTTCAAAATTGAACTTTCTTTTTTGGAGGGGAAAGAACACTCTTTTACTTGGTTCAAGATCAATAAATTATACATTTATAAGTTGGTACAACACTTTCTTTCTAGAGAAATAATTGTCAAACAATATAGGTCAACAGTACAAGTTTAGCAGAACAGTTGACCGGCTTGGAGATAAAGAAATTGTAACGTGGTCATCTTCGGTGGCAGCTGAACATCAACAACAGCATTCAACAGTGGTGTACCAACCTACAGTGCACCAAGACAGAGTATTAGGGAAAACAGAAATAGCAAAAATGGGTGGTTGTTAAAGAGATGAAATTTAGTTTAATGAATAAAGTCTTGAAATTGGGTTTTAAAATTGAAGTAGATAATCATTGTCCCACAATTCACAACTGCTCACCCTCCCCCAGTGTCTCTATGGCAATTGAAAAGCCATGCACAAGCAAAAAAAAAAATGATATACTTGAATGTAGGGTAAGACAGGAGCACATTCTAGAGAGCATATACATAATGAATAATGATCAAAACGACCAAAACGATAACATATCACATGTATGTTGAGCATAAGTCCCCACGACCAAATGCACACAGTCACACACTGTAAGACAAGCACGGCCCATTGAAACCTTCGAGGCTGAGGCACATCACGGGGAGATGAAACATCTTCCGATGTGTCAAGAACTGAGATTCTATCCAACGTGGATGTATATCTAAATACTCACTTCAGTTATGATTGCCAATACAAGATTTGGCACCCAATGAGTAATGGAAGCAGGTGTTCTGGAGCCTTTGCTAATTAATGGCTAATGCCAAGAATATCGGGTGGGATTCAGGTAAAATGGTTTCTCCAAAGATGTGCTCTAAGCTTAATACAGATGGAACTGTGTGACGGTCAAAAGGTAGGTTTTGATTACAGTGGTTAAGCCGTTAAGGTAATAGGATTCTGATAGGATGTGCTATAAACTTGATACAGATTAACCCATTAGATGCCAACAGGCTGAAGGTAATTTTGCGGCAAGCTTTATGCTAAACATCAAATCATGAGCAGTTTCAAAACAGACATCTGGGGTTTGAGAGAGGGAGTTCTTGCTAAAAGACAAGGCCTCACTCATGTTGAAAATGAAGTGGTTTCACCTATGGCTCTGTTACGTGCTCACAAAACCTTTGAAGCAAAGGGCTCCAGGGGAACTAATCACCGCTGACTGCCAAGCCATCACGCAGACTGGGTTAAAGGAATTTGCTTCACCAATTGCAAAGGGAATCAGTGTGCTTAACTTATTTTGCAAACATGAATCGAGTAGCACCTAATGGGACCTTAATCTTTGCGGATCCACCAGAAAGTTCAAGACAATTTTCAAATAGCAACAAAAGGGGCAAATCCTTTATAAGGATGTAGCCCTAGTATGGCTTCTGTTTCATCTAACAAATAAAAATGGAGTAAAAAGTAAAAGGAAAATTGGGGCATCAGATTCATACTCAAACTTTTAGGCAACACTAAATACTCAGCTATCAGGATAGGAGAGAGAAAATGAGTCAAAATCCTAACAGTGAAACCTAAAGTACCACAAGGATGACAATTTGTCAAGACAGCAAGCAGTTCTATATATCATACAGCGCAGGACATCTTCACACACTGGGAAATTTGGGCAGCAAATCTTTCAACTGTCTCTCAATAATTGTAAACCAAAATTTCCCTTATAAGTAATTTCATGACAAACAAGCATTATCACTATAATATTCAATTATCTTACCCCTTGCAAAATTGTCAACTTTTCCACCAAAAAGCTAATTACAATTTACAAAAAGACTCTGCAGACTACATTGTGTAAATAACATCAATAAATATATCACTCAACAATTCATTCACATTCTCACATTGATATCTGTACTATTTTTCACATCTGTTACCTGGCTATACTAAGTGTAGAAGAGAAAGTGCAACTGATTTCTTATCTAGTTCCTTAATACAGAGTAATTGATTGCATAGAATCTTCAACTATTTTATCTTACTACTTTTTCAAGATCATTGAAGAAAGGCATTATAGTGTGGTTTTTTATTGTAAGGACACACCCTTAATATTTGAACCAACAATATTTAAGGCATATAACCAATATGCATATTGCATGAACCAAAAACCTCTGCCCAAGCTCATTGGTAATTCAGCTTTAGTATTTGATATGCCCTAATTGCCATACAATATTATGTTATCAACTTTTGTGCTTTCCATACACAACACCAAAAGCCACTGAAAAGAATATGAGAAAACCCTACCATCCCAAACCACCATCACAACACACACAAGAAATGCAAATTTCTCCAGTGAATCCCCACTTTTAAAGAAAATATGCAACAAACTAGATCTAGCATGATAACCCTCTTTGCTACCGTGGTTTTTTTTTTAAAGCCTTCTCTGATAGCCTTTATATTAAGTAGTTAAACAGTTCTGTTTTATGCATATGCTCAATCTTATTGGTAATGATCATGTCTTTAAAATCCTCCTAATATGAAATACTTATCAGTATAGTAAAAGAGATATTAATGGTGCCATGGTGGGATCTACAACTTGGAAACATAAGAACTTCATAATTCAACATGCTCTGAAATTTGTATTTTCTCATGAAACATGGTGCAGACAACATATTATAATCACAACATAAACGAGACAAGGAAGGATCCATAAATCTTCAACTAGCTATATAACAGCAATACAGTATAAAAAGAATATAATTTCAAACTTTGAAAGCTATGACAGGTCAATGAAGCAAGCACAAAACTCACAGATACCTTCAATTTCAGTGGCATCCCCAACCAGTCAATGCCAAGCAACAATTGAATGGATTACTCAATAGCCAATGTAACTAGGATCTCCTGTATATTCTGCAATTTGCTCAAGTCTCACATTGAGTAACTCATGCGTATCAGCATGTCGCACAACACCAGTCTCCTTCTCTGTATCCCTCTCTACAAGGCTTCCATACACGCCCTTATGCCTGCCATACAAAACAAGTACAGGACCACCACGCCTTGGGAGTGCCGTCTCAAGCTGATTCTGATTCACACCTTGAATCAATTCCCGGCTCTCGTCTATTGATATATCACAAGTTGATGGCCCTACCACATCCACCACTTCTCCTTTCTTCAAATATAATTTTCCTCCTTTCAACGCCTTACTTATAACCCTAACTCTTATATGACTGGTTAGCCAAGAAATGTGTTCAACTCCCTTTGCATTTGACTCATCTCTACTATGTTTGCTGTCCTTTCTCCTGTCCCTTGATCTATCCTCCCTAATTTCCCTATCCCTCATTACTTCATCTCTACTTTCTCTACGATGTCTAACACTAGATGAATCTTTATTGCTGTCTTTAATCTTCAACTCCTTCAACTTCCTCATACACTTCTCCTCTTCTACAGAACCCAACTCTGCAACATCAGATGCTTGGACAATTACCTCCCTGTCATCACTGGAAAGCCTAATGATCATATTCCCACCGCTCTTTACCTCCACAACATTTCCTTTCATTCCCATTTCCCTACCTCCAACTATCCTTATGTTCTTGCCCACATACAATCCTTTCCCTTCCTTTTCCCCTATTTCCTCCTTTCCATTCATTTTCTTTTCTCTCTTTTCTCCACCATCAACCTTATGCACTTTAGTATCCTTTGGAAATTCAGCAGTAAATCCAATCCCTTCCTTCGCAGACCATCTTTTATACTCTCTCACTTTCACATCCTCTTTTGCGTTGCGGCCTATGCCTCTGCCTTCACTCCAACCATAACCCTTGAGCAGAGCAGCTCCAAAGCCCTCCACGGGCATATCAGTAAACTCATCCATACCGTTATCATCCGGCAGTCTCATCAGATCCTCTTTCAGCTTATGCAACATGGGGTCAACATTAGGGTTAGGGTTTTCTGACTTATCGGTGTTCGCATCGTCGGCAGTTTTCCCGGTTGACTGGCGGATATTGAGACCGTAGGACACGGAATCGGACGACGGCTCGACAGACGAGCCGGTATCGACCTCGAATTGCAGCGGCTGATCGTCGGACGACCGGATTGGAGGGAGGTCGATATTCTTCATCCGTTTGCGAGGCTCCCATTCGTTGGCCTTGGGAGGGATTACGTAATTGGCGACAGAGTCGGCTGCTGCCGGAGCTTTAGAAGCATCGAACTCGGTCACGTACTCTTTGACGGCGGACGCCGATGCTTTCGGGTCATTGGCGGCGAACGTCTGAGATGGTTTCTTTAGGTTTGAAGAGGGCTTTGAGGAGAGGGAAAATGAGAGTTTCATCGTCAACGATTACAGAGACGTCGGACCGGCGAGCCCAGGAACACCTTTCTTCTTCTTCCTTCTTTCTTCTTCTGTTCTTTTAGAAATTAGCACGGAGTCCCTTCAAAAAAAAAAAAAAAAAAAAAAAAAGGTTAGAAATTAGCACGGAGTATATTAGGAAAAAAAAAATTTACATTTTTTAAGGCGGGTGGCTAAAGTTCGAAAAAAAATAAAAAATTTTCCATTAGTTATCGCTATGTTCACAAAATGAAACTTGGAATAATAAAAAGAGAAATGTTTCTCATTCTTACACAAATTGTATTTTTTTAAATGTGTCTATTTTAATATGGTTAATTTGTTCTTTTTAATAAACAATAAAAAAATAAAAAATAAAAAATAAAAAATATATTTCTTTGCACCAATTATTATATAATGTGATGAAATTCACACACAAAATCCAACACAACTAAAAAAAAAACAAAAAAAAAAAACATAAAACATATACTACATTATAAATAATATTCTATAGAATACAATTCTCCTGAAAGCATTAATTCATAAAAATGAAGTCAAAATTAAGACTCGTTCTAGTCCCATTGTTTGCCTTCATGCCATTTTTTCAAAATTTTATCTTAAAAAATAAAACAAAAAATAAAAGCCAAAAGGAGTGGGAAAACAAAAAATAAAAGCCAAAAGGAGTGGGACCAATTATTATTGTGTGAACTATGATACACACAATTCTGTGGACTATATTATCAAATAATGTATGTTCACTACACAAATAATATACTTTTAATATATTAAAAATGTACATTGTATTTAGAAAAAATACATTATTTTTTATCAATCACAAAATGGGAAAACTCTGGGGAGGAACAAAATAGTAAAAAAAAAAATACATTATTTGAGTACAAAAAATATATTATATTGTATAATGTATATTCAAAACATAAATAATATACTTTTAGTACATTAAAAATGTACTTTTTCTTATGATCCACATAATAATTTGCCGAAGGGAGGGCAATCGTTATGCTGTGGAACCGTGTCCACCTTGCAAGGTGGACACGATTCTATGTTCATAATTATAAAGTTATAATTCATAATTTTTGAACTTCATATTCATAATTATTAAACTCTATATTCACAATTACATAGCTCTATGTTCATAATTACTGAACTATATGTTCATAATTATAAAGTTATATATTCATAATTTTTGAACTTCATATTCACAATTATTGAATCTCTATATTCATAATTACAGAACTATATGTTCATAACTCTATGTTCATAATTATAGAACTATATGTTCATAATTTTTGAACTATATATTCATAATTATGAATAATTTTGGAACCGCATCCACCTTGCAAGGTAGACATGGTTCCATCGTAAATTATGCCCTAGAAACGTGTTCACCATGAATGGTGAACAAGAGCCCAAACGGCGGCGTTTTTACGGGAAAAAAAAAATAGTTAATGTGTTATTAACGGCGTTTTGCATTTTATGTTCAGATTATGAATTTACATTTATTAAATTATTAATTTTCTGTTATGAGATTATGAATTTACAGTATATAATTATGAATTTTATGTAAATTCATAATCTCATAACAGAAAAAAAAAGAAAAAAATCCATGTATTCCATGGCATAACGATTGTGGTTCCACAGCATAATATGCCGAGGGGAGGGAGAATAGTTTTAAAGGCCTGAGGTATCATATTGGTTGGGCCAATGAGAGATGTTAGGCTGAAAATATGGCCCGAAATGCATAGAGATTATTAGCTATTCTCAGTTTGTATGGAAATATGGGAATGAGTAGGACTCGTGTCCACGATGCATTGTGGACACGAGTCCAAAACGACGTCGTTTCAATGGAAAACGCGGCCTTTCTGTTAAAAAAAAAAAATTTGATTTTGTCTCGCCGTTAAAGGTGTTATTCGTTTGTGGCATTATGAATGTACAATTATGCAATTATGAATGTACAATTATGGAATTATGAATGGAAGTTATGGAATTATGAACACAGAGCTCTGACATTATGAACTTACAATTATGAACATATAGTGATAAAATTATGAACATAGAGCTCTAAAATTGTGAACATAGAGTTTCGAAAATTATGAATTTACAGTTATTGAATTATGAATGTACAATTATGGAATTATGAATGTACAGTTATGCAATTATGAACACAGAGCTCTGACATTATGAACTTACAATTATGAACATATACTCTTATAACAAAGTGGTCTGAAATTTTTATTTTTATTTTTAAAAGGTGGAAGAGAACGGTGCCACTAACGGCACCGTTACCGTGTCCATCATGTATGCTGGACACGGATCCATAGCATAACGATTGGAGATAGTATACTTGTCCTAAAGGACTAAGAGGGCTTATTGGCATGTGTCTTTTATCTTGTTTCATAATCCTCTTAATACTCAATTTAATTTTTTAGTATAATGTTTTTTTTAAAAGATACTATAGTGTTTTTTAATCAGTTCTAAATATTGTTTTTGTTCTTAGATTTTTTGACTTTGATAGTTTTACTCAATTAAATCTTTTGTTAAGATAGCTTGATAATTTCACATCTATTATTACTCATCAATTCAGTCTTCAATTATGTAATTTTATCCAAGCTAGTATTTGACTGTAATGATTTTACACAATTTAATTATCGACTATAGTGATTTTTATCGATTTAGTGTTTGATTCTAATAGCCAATTACTCAATTGAGTAAAATCATCAAAGTCGATGATCTAATTAAGCAAAAAAAAAAAAAAAAAAAAGTCATTTATAACTAAATTGAGAAAAATCATTATAATCAATGACTAAATTGAGTATTAACTTTTTGTATTCTAAGAAGTTATAACTCATGATCTATGGTACTGACTCTTTGTAGTTCACTAGGTTGAGAAAGTAACTATGAACATATACTACATTGTAACAAAGTCAATAGTACTCAAAAAAAAAAAAGAGTCAAATAAAAAAGAATGTAATTTTATTTAAAAGACTGTCTGTAAATTAAAAAAAAATACATATTTTTTTAAAAAACAACTCATTATTCAAAAAATATTTCGATGTTCAGCTAAAAGTCATAAAAATTATACGGAGTAGACTTTAAAAAAAATTAAGCATAAATCTATTACAAAGTTATTCTTAATAAAATATTAATTTCATTAAAATAATGACAATAATAATTGTATTGAATAAAATTTATAATAATTTATTTTCACTATAGACACTTTGTAAAACTTGCTCTAAATAGTTTTAATTAGTAAAAATACTAAAACCATTTTATTATTATTACTTCAATAAATATTGGTTATTATTTGTTAAAGACTATAAACATTGTGTCATTGTACTCATATTATGATTTTATTTATATTAAAAATAACGTTATAAATTAAAATATATATTATTATTCATTAGCTCTTCAGATTTATATATATATATATATATATATATATATGTAACTTATTATAATAATAAAAGTAAATACACAAATTAATAAATATAATAACTCAAAATTAAAGAAAATACTAAAAATAATAAAAATGTAAATAAAAAAGGTGAATCGTGAGTCCATCTGGATCAATATTTTTTATAGTTTGCTCCAACCTAGGCTAACTTGAATCTGAGTCGTGCTAATCGGTTCAATTCAAATAGTAACAAGATATATGTAACAAATTTAATACTTAAATTGATAAATATAATAACCCTAAGCTACAAAATAATAATAAAACAATTTTTAAAAAAAATTCGATTGTCAATCGAGCTGGGCTAATTTTTGCTATTTGACTTGGTCTGTTCCAACTCGAAGTTGAATCTGGTAAATCCAGTTCAGTCCAAATAGTTGTTAAGTAATTGGGAGTTTGCCCGAACATGTTCGTTTGGCACCACTTTAGAGAAGAAAAGAAAGAGAGTCAAGTTTGAGAGATAAATTAAAAAAAGTGTCTTTTGAGTAATTAAATGTCTCATAAGGCATTTTTTGACAAATTGTGTTATGTTTTCATTCATTAAAGTGAGCATTTTTTTTCATTGATTTAATTTTCCTTTGACAGTTAAACATTGAAAATTTTCATTTTTGAGTTTCCAAATATATCATAATGAATATATATATATATATATATATATATATATATATATATATATAATATCCATAATAACAAAATGATTAAATTTGACGAATATTAAAAACATAAAATAAATTTAATTAAAAATAAGATGAAATTGACTGTTCAATAATTATAAGGAGGTGTTTGGTTAGATGGAAAATATTTTCTATATAATTCTTTTCAGTAATTTCTTTTTCACTAATTAAACAATGGAATTCATTTTTTTGACATTTATTTTTGGTCCTAGATTTATAGGTGGAAGTCCAATTTTAGTTATTTTTTATTAAAACATTCATATTTAGTCCTAGTATTATTGTGTCATGACCATTTTTGGTATTCTATCAACAAAATAGTTTTAAATCTATTAAATACAAAGCCATTTTGGTCTTCAATTACGAATTTAACAAAAAAAAACATAAAAATATAATAGGATCAACTCACTTTGTATAAAAATGATCGAAATGTCTTTGTATTTAACGATATTTCAACGATTTTGTTGATAGATGACCAAAAATTGTCATGTCACAATAATACTAAGACCAAATGTATATGTTCTCATAAAGAAAGACTAAAAGTGTACTGCCCCCTATAAATCTAGAACAAAAAATGAACTTAACTATTTATTTTTCATGAAATTTCAATTCCATTTATCTTCAAATATTTTCTAGGGAACTAAACAGTCTGTAAATATATATGTGGTTCCATTGATTTAAACGATAGTGGAAATTATCCTAACTTGACAGTAACACCATATAGACAATAGGCTTCAACGTTTTTAAACCAAAAAACTAGGATCTTGTTGCTTGAACGTCTCGTCAATTGATTATAAAACATTATAAAAATTAACAAGACTATGATGGGAAAAAGGTTGTTCAGTACAAACCGCACCACCTCAATTATATTCAAATAAGGAATTTTTAGATTCCAATACGATTATATATATATATGTATATATGTATATATTTGAGCCAGCTTTGGTGCATGCAACGTAA